TTCTCGATAACCTATTCTCTTCCTGTGACCTCTTTCGCCGGCTCCGACAATGCGGCCACGGTGCCACAGGCACAGCCCGCAGGAACTGTGGCATCTACAAGCCTCTTGTCAAGCTCAAAGCTGCAGATAACACAGCTGCCGGCAGCCTTCAATTCAATGATATCAAAGCTATCCCGACAGCAGATAACCAAGTCAGTCAGAGAGACAGGATTGTATTGATTTTCCCTACTAATTTGTCTTCGGCTAGGTCAATCAGATCGCATGGAAAGATAACGCCCTCGTGCTATTCCTGTCCACTGTGTTCAAGGGCACTGAGAGACTCGAACGCATAAGGAAGAGACCGACAACAGACCAAATGCAAGCACGGCCAATACAGCGATTTTTTGGTGACGAGGCTGTCAAGCTGATTTCTATCCCATCCATCGCTGCTGTTTACAATGACGAGATGGGTGCTGTAGATCGCGGTGACCAAATGCGGTCATATTGGAGCCCTACCCGGCGTGCCCGTAGGGGCGGCTGGAGGGCTCTAGCTTGGGACTTCCTGCTAGAAATAGCCCTTATTAACAGCTATATTTTACAGCAGCGAGGGCAGCCACAGTGGAAGCCGGAGATATCACAGGGCAATTGGCGCCAACGTATTGTTAATGACCTTATCGCAAAGTATCAGTCTGACAGTCAGGCCCGACAGAGATTTCGGACTGGAGACGAATTTACGCCTGTTATACAGCACAATTGGGTCCGGAATAAGAATCCCTCGGCATGTCAAGCTTGTAAAGGAATACGGCTTGGAGAGGGTCGGCCGCAGCCGTTACGGGCAGTCAACGGCAACAGAGGTCAGAGACTAAAGAAATCGCGATATCGCTGTCAGCAGTGTAATGTAGCGTTATGTAGAGGGGGGAATTGCTGGGACTTCTATCACCATATAAAATAGGTGGGGATCTATGTACCTTTAATTTGCTATACTCTGGTTGGCTGGACCCCCCTGCTAGTGACCTAAGTGTTGCCTTACCGCACTCAAAGGGATAATGACAACCTACGACGATCCCTGTAACTGGGGCTCGCCTGGCGGGAAACACGCCCTGTGGATCTCTACGTCACGCTCGCACTGACGTCGGGAATCGATTGAGGCCTAGATCCGGGGCGATCATGGTTCGTTAATCGGGCGATTGGCGGCCCACGTGACGGCGTCAAACTGTCTGTACTCTGCCCCCTGGCTGGATTACAGTCGGTGCTTCCTGGACTACCTAGCGTGTGGCCGCTCCGAATAGGCTACGCATTTGAGAACTTATTCAAGTCTGTACGGAGGTTTCTTCAGACGCAAGTCCGGGGCAAGGTGGGGCAGCATCTGACCGGATTCCAGCGGGTATCTGTTGCCACCGGGCGCGTACTGAACCCCCGGCCAACGGAGGACGTGCCGCCTTTTCGGAGGAGATGACAGCTGTCTGACCGATGCGTACCATCTTGGTGCTTATCATCTCCCCTTCGTCCGAGACCTAGAGGAATGGACCAACACGTGTTGCCGCGGTCGAGACCGCGTTCCTGGGGCGAGCACATACGCAAGTCTCAGGCTTGGACACTGCCTGACAGAACCCCGCGCCCCTGTAAAGCGCTGTAACGTTTGTGACCTTGCACAGCGCCGCGCCTTGTGTCCGTCTTTGTTTTGATTGAGGCGAGCTCGCTGTCACTATCGGGCCTGTTTGCGTTCATGCTGAGCTACGCTGAGAACGGTCAGCAGGCCGGGATCGAGTTTGAGGGGAGAAGAATGCGGTTCCGACAACGTTGTGCCACCCGAGATGCCGTTGCATTGGGGGCAGATCGACGGTGCATACTTGAATTGTAATGTTAACCGCTACATCCCACGGCCAGGCCAGATGAGGATTTCCTCCGCCCCGACCATGGCCAATCGCATCCAGGCACCTGGAGCGGTTAGACTTCAACGGGGAGCGCCCAGGAGTCGGAAGCGCAAAGGTGGAAGCAGCGGTGTGCCAAAGCAGGGCGAGCTGCCGACTGAGTTGGCCTTCGGAGCGTCGGAGGACGCGTCGAGGTCTCGTGTGAGTCGTGTCATGTTGACACGGGCGGCCAGCCACTGACGTACTGCACTCAAGACACGCGCATAAGCGCACACGCGCACACGCGCAGAGTTGGAGGCAGGCAGACGGGCAATTAGGCAGGCGACGCATGCGTACGTGGGTGATTGCGGGCAGGCAGATTTGAATTGAGGCTCACGATATCGACTGATTTAGCCGGAGTCGCATTCGGGCAAATAGAGTTGCCGTTAGCTTGCTTATGGCTTGCCCGTCAACGCCGCCCTATTCTCTTACTTGGGCATTTGCTTTCATATCGGGTCAATTGCAGTACTTGGGCTTGGATGTAGGGGGATTACTTGAGCACCATTTCTCAACACAGACTTGTCAAGAGCGGGCTGGGACATATCTGGTGTTGTGTGGCAGGCTCCTCCAAACCTTGACGGCGCCCTTCAAGCTCGACGTCTTGACCGAACTAATGTTTCCGTATGCCGGTTCTGGGGTTGGTCCTGATCTTACAGCGTCAGCAAGGAAATCGCCCACGATGAGGCCCCTCGCCTTGTGACGTTGGCAAGGGAACCACCGATGTTGAGACGGTGACACGCGGCATCTCTCTGCAAGCTACGGACCCAACCCCTTACCGTGTCACCTCCTACTTCTGAGATGTGGTGCAGAGAGGATCCGGATCCCGGCATGCCAGAAACGAACGCGGCCGAGGATTGTCATCCGTCACATCCTAACCTACGAGAGATGCAGGGCGGTCCTTGTCTGGAAAGCCCCGGTCCCAATGCGGGGTCGATTGGTCACTTGTCATTCGGGTGGGATGGATCCAATGCCATACGTTCTCGAGTTGTTGTCCTCTCCCTTGCAGAGTGGGGTGACACTCAGCAGCAGGGATTCCCCTTCCCAGCAAACGCCCAGTCGCCAATCAATATCTGAGGCGAAAGGATCAGAACCCGAATAATCGTTCCCTCTCTGTTTCTATTAGCGTCTTACACCGACTCCTCACGACACACAGACTTTCCTCACATCGGATCCTCTTGGTTTCAGCACACTTGGCCAACCACAACCCGCATATGCAATCTCCAACTTTCCCCTTCTCTGGCTTTATGCGTGATGCTCAAAATGAAGACGAAAAACCCCCCGCTTCATAAACTTTCTGTCGGGACATTTAATCAGTTGTCACAAACCGACATCGCCGAGCAGCGTCGAGGCCCCGGGAAGCGATGTACTTCGTGCGTACCTCAGCTGATCCGCTTGTTCCGTTTATTCACCTATCATACATTCGAGTTTCATGTAATACTGTATCCAGCTCAGACCGGGCGAGCTCTAGCCTTGGGCACGGGGAGTCGGGTTCATGCTGGTGCAGGACTGTTGCACACATTGAGCATGCGCACGCTTCATTCGATTTCAATGGCCTACATTTCTCTATAAAGTCTCCATGTTCGCCCTCACGTAGAAGGAAGTATAGCACATGTGTTCTCATCAATATATTTTACTTCTCTTGGCCTATTGCTGCGTCGACTTGGACGACCGCGCTCTTTGTTGCTCACCACGAAGCAGAAAATATTCTCTGATCCTGGAAGGAATCTTGTCTTAAGACCACGACTTGTTTCTTTGCATTTGTCCACTTGGTCCACCTCTTTGCCGAACGGCGAACCAGTGGTGTCAAACATATTGGCCTTAATCTATCTCACGACTGTCATGTCGTTATCTTCTACAGCCGTTGCCCAAGGCTCAGTCACGAGGTGAGACGAATTTTTCGTTCGATCTGACCCCTTCACCGCAGTTGCCAAGGTCTTGGTCCCAGCCCGCGTGCCGGGTCGCAAGGTGAATCTTTCTCGCTAATAAGCTTAAAGCGCCCGTCAAAATAGCAACGCCACAGATAAACCTGTCACACCATATAGAACAATGCGTATGCCCAGACTCACCCACGACCCCGATGAGCCTGTGAATGCACGGATGCAAAATCCGTTCTACGTTTTCGGGACTCCGCTGGCTACTCGCGACCCTGAAGTATGGCGAATCATTACGACTACTGCGAGTATTCCTACAATGACGCCAAAGACATCTAAGACACAAACGTGACTGGGGGCTTGGATCGTCAATGGTCCTCAACGTTGGCAATGCGGTTCAACGTTGAATAATTCAGTATTATTGTGGGTTTAATTAACTCAGTGATGTATAATTTCCTTTGGTGTTGGTGTTGGCGTGGGTGTTGGCGTGAGTGTTGGCGGCGTTTGTGTTTCTAGATGGTGCTGTTCCGTCTCTTCTGTACTGGTGTTCCTGTTTCCTTCCATAACTTAATTTTTTCCCAAAGTATTTGGTTTCTACTTTGTGTCTCCTCCGCGTCATATCGAAGATTATCAGGTGGCACAGACTACATCACCGGGATGTCGACCCAGTTGCAGACAATAGGGTTTGCCGAGGTAGCTGCACGGCACTGAGACACAGAACGAGGATTCCCTCCCACGCAATGCATACAAAACAAATTCCGGATGTCAATTGATGTGAACCAACGGATCTAGGCAAAGCATGGCGATGTGAACTGTCCCCATTTCGTCGTCATATGGCGTTCCCCATTCCCCGATCGTGGTGACATTTGCGCTACAGCCGCATACAACCATTCACAAAATACCAAACAGTATTCCGTGTTTGACCTATCCCCTGGCGATCCCCTTCACCGAATCCGCTCTCGCGGCCGCAGTACGCACAAACCAGTTCGGCCATTCGTTCGGCCTTTACATTTCCCCTCCCATGTCCCGTCCCATCCATGTCCATCCCAACCTCATGCGTGCTTTATTTAACCTTAAGCGGCCTTCATAATGTTTCGGCTGAGGCACCTGACACATTCCCAGTCCTAAGTTGGCCTCACAACTACAGCGTCAGAGCCAATAGCAGTGGTGCGCTCCGCTGGACCCCTGCTGAGAGCCGCAAAGCTCAGCGCACTATGAGGCGATCGCCGTTAATCCTTGCTCAACCAATGCCCACATGTTCGCCGACCGCACCGACGCCCGCTGGATCCGCAAACCGCATTACCGCCTTGCCGTATTGCAGATTCGGGCTTGGTTTTGCCTTGGATCTTGAATACGGTGGCAGCTGCAATCCTAGTTTCGCAAACACGATAGCCGTACGTGAGGGGAAATTGACTATTTTACCATGCTCTGACTGAGGCCCAAACCCTGAAAAATAGGGCGATAACCTGCTTATTTCAGGGTGGCTGGCCTTTTCTGCTTTCGTCCGCTCTTTGTCCCTCGATAATTCTTCCTCGATGCGTTTCGGAGCCTGACACATGTCACCACCAATGCTTACGCTTCCTTGATCCTAATTAAATTATTCTGTTCCACACCACTGGAAACGGCGGCGGATAAAAGTGGTTCTCCCCACACGATGCCTTGAGCGCTATGGAGGAGCTAACCTTATCTTAACGGTTCGTGGGTCTTTTGAATGACATTCGGTCACATGAAGAACAGACAAGGAACCAAATGAATGATATAAAATTGATGTAATATGGAAAGACCCAAGGACCCGGGGGGGGGAGCCGGGGGGCTGTTGACAAGTCAAATGCCATCTTCCACGAACACCAACACCAAATCGTAGGAAATCATAAACCGCAAAGCCTTCATTGGAGTATTGAATGGCTTAAAGGTGACTGTATTCATGACCCTGAAGGCCGCTCATGTAGTCTGACACCCTGCACATGGATGCCTTAGAGACTGACGGAGAGTCCGCCGTGCTTAGGAGTAAGGCTCTCGACTGCAGCGATCATCTTCTCGACATCCGGGTTCCGAGTAAATAATGGAGTCCCAAAAAGGTAAGATGGGCTTTGCATTCGTTTGTTGACGGGGTCTTCCGGGCTGTCGCCAAACTGAAGGATATGGCTCGTTCTCTGTGCGGTAGGGTTGCCCGACGGGTTGCTAGTTTGCGGGTACATGTTAGCGGAGGGGTTTCACACTGTGGCCCAACCAGCTTCCTAGCACTGAAAGCTTGACAGTGGGAGTGAGGAGGTGATATGGACAGAGTCACCTTACTTGAGTATAGGGCCTTTGGTGACGATGGTTGAAGACACCGACATGGCAATGGTAGTGATGAGCACACGGCAGTCCAACTGATTGGTGCTGTCGAGTCACTGTCTGATGAAGAGAGGGATGTATATGAGGCAGGTGCAGAGTGAACTAGCTTAGGTGAGGATCACCGGAGGATGTGGAAGTAGATTTGCGAGTATGTGGGTGACGGCAATGATTGGTGTCTGATAACAACACGTAGTGGATTTAGAAACGGAAAGTAAGACGAGGGACAGTAAGAGAGAAAGAAGAAGAACTGTTTAAATAAGAAAACAGAGAGCCGTCAGATGAAGTAAGCATATCAGCAAAGTGCAGAGTGAAAGGTGCGTGGCTACTCATTGTCTCTCTAGACCGGCTGAAAACTGGAGACCAGTGTCTCGGGGAAGAATTAGACTGCCCTATAGGAGTAGTCCTGCCAGACCGCTGAAGGATGGATGGTACCTAGGCTAGTAAATAAGAGACAGGGATATGGCCTGCGGCCGGTCACTAAGAAATCGTGGCGCTGGGGTGTTACGACTCTAGGGCCTGGATGTTGGGCGAGTGAGCCTGCCTCGATGATCTGAGCTGGTGTTTTCACTCTGGAAGTGACGTAACATCTGACATGTCACCTGCATTTAGGCATTGACCAGGCTCTTTTTAAGACGTGCGTGCAAGCGATACAGCTCCAATGTAGGCTCTGTACAGGCTAGGGAGTAGCTGCAGGTTCGTGAGGACCAGACTGGTGGCCCGTCAGGATGTCACTCGTGAGGCGGGCGGAGTCTCACGGCAGAGAGGCACCATGACATATGTCGACAGGGAGTGAAGTGATGGGAGGCCCCCACCATCTACCAACTGTGTGTCTTGGGCGTTCCAAACCACGGTATTTGCCGTGTGGTATCTGGTGCGCCCCAGTTCCGCGTCTGATTACTTATTATCTAGTCCGCTTTAGGTCCCCTTTTGTGTCCTGTGCGCTGCATGTCGTGGATCACCGCGATATTTCGGACGTCCGAAATTCTTCGTTCGGTACAGTCACAAGGATGTGGGCAATTTTCCAATTAAAACCAAGCACTATTGGTCTTGGCGGGGAAGGACCCCTCTGCCAAGAGCTGCATGACAGGCTTAGAACAACGAACTAGTGGTGTGGCTGGTTCATACACTCAGCTGCAAAGCCTCTGGCGTTTTTGGATAGTGCCCGCCAATGTGTCGGCGATGCGGAATGAAGCCCGCCTGCTCGAAACTCGACCAACCAGAACAATTTGCCGGCAAGGCAGATCCGAGGTGTCTAGGGCTTCCATCAACACAAGATAGACAATGGCCAACTTCAGAAAATAGAAATTAGGTAATCTGAGACAAGATGGCTGCGGAAATTGACAGAAAGCGCTGGTTGACAAGCCCATCGTGTCAGGGTAATTCAAGAGCTCCCAATTACCATGTTGAACTTACTCGACGATCTATTTACGGTATATACTTGTTCTAAGTGGTCAGACTAGGGTCAATTTAAACTCAATACTTGGATTGAAGCATGACTGGAGACAAACTCACATTCACTCCGCGCGTAAGAATCTTGACTGGAATTACAGCCAAATATGCAACATAGCAAATTCGTTGCTTTCCTCCTCAAGACTATTGTTTTCTGCGGGCTCGATAAAACTTGGAGGGTTTCTATAAGAAAGTCCCCTCTCAAGGGGCATGAACTTGGGTGGTCAAGGGTGGCTGTTAATAAGTATGCTGATGAGACGAGTCGGCATATCCGTTAGCTTTAATTCCCGCTGTGTTCGAAGGAATGCGAATTTCAAGCGGTACGGTCTCACAGGTGCTTCATTTGGTTGCCATCGCCGTTTCGCGCTGTGAATGCAGCCACCGCTGAGGAACACACCTTGAATCCATTTTAATCATGCACCAATGGCCGGTTCAAATTGGAAGCCTCCCAATCCTGCTGGTTGGTTTTAAATCAGAAAATTATCATTATACCAAAATGCTAGTGCAGGGCATACGTGCAATTGCAATTGACTAGTCTAATTTGTGCGTAAGTGTTGCACCTTGAGCATGGTTCTACGTACAATGTTTCGTTTTCAATCGATTTGGGTACTCGTCGATTTGCGCACTCACTTGCTAATTTCAAGTTCTTGCTTGTTTCTGAATTGCTAATTTTGCTCATTTTGATCAATTGCTAGTTTTACACAGCTGCAGATTTTACACAGTTGCACATTTTGATCGCTTACTAACTTAATTTTCGGCAATCGCTCGTTTTGATCAGTTGCTAATTTTGATCACCTCCTAACTTTTATTATTCCCGTACCTTCATTTTCCCCTAGCTTTCACTTTTCCCGTGGGCCACTTGATCAGGCTATGTCATACAGCATCCAATTGTAACGGTGGGGGAGTAGGACCGCTTTTCGCTAAGCCCATTCATTCACCAACGGCCTTTAACTGTGTTGAGTCAGTGGAATGTCTGTCGCATGGCATCCGTTAGATTACACCACTCGGGACGGTCCGCTGGATCCAGTGAAGTTTATTTGGAATTAGACCAGATGACCTTAAAATCTCATGTCAAGGCATATTTGACTGATCATCGACCGCACAGAAAACACTATGACAAATGAAAAGCCACATAATACGCGGTAAACTGATTTCTGGCTTGTGCGATTTTTCTTACAGTACCGAGAGTAAATCAGTAATATAAGATACTTGCATGCAGACATGATATCCGACGTTAGAAACAAAACGGAATAGTCCAAATGGTAGCATGTCATTGACAAGACACAATGCCGTGGTTCTTTGATACTAGTAACGAAGATTCCAACACCACAGAGACAACCCAAGCATCGCCACATGAATATCGTTTCGTTTGAGGATGGCCTGGAACCAACATACAAGGCCAGAGATGCTTCCAAAATCTTATCATGTAGATGTCCTCGGGGTCGGTGTCGGGCTCGTATTGATGAGCTTCATAGCAGCAGCAAGTATGCGCTTCGCGTCGGGATTGCGAGCGAACAGTGGAGTCCCAGCAACGTAGCCTAGGTTCTGCATCCGTCTGTTGACAGGATCATCTAGGCTATGGGTAAATTGGGGAAGATGGATTCCTTGTGGCGCGGCAGGGTTGCCTGAGCGCTGGCTAGTTCTCGAACTCATGTCAGCAAAGGTTCTACGGTAGGTTTGGCCAATCAAGATGAGACAGCGGGATTGACAAGGTAATCTTACCTTGACACGGAGCCTTGGGCAACAGCGTTGGAAGATGGCGACATAATGATGGTAGAGATAGATGCAGGGCCCTAGTGCTTTACATGATTAGCCTGTTGTCCGATGAAGAGAGGGACTGCCTGGAAAGGGCTGAGGGAGGAGGCACGAGAAGAAAGCTGCGGGTAGGTAGTGGATAGAAGGGAAAAGGGAGAATGGGTATGATGGGTATGAAGGAGGCAATGGCTGGCACTGACGAAGCGGTAGTAGACCAAGAAGATGCAAAGATGAGGGGGAATCAAAAGCTGAATGCTGCAGTAGGTTGGCGAGGATGAGGTGGATGCATTCTGGACGTGGGAGGGACAAGAAGACTTTATAGATGAGCACGGTAGGAACCAGAGTCGAAGCCCGCACATCTGCGAAGCACAAATAGAGAGAGAGGCGAACAGGAAATGCATAAGATCAGGCGGCGACAAGGAGCACACACACGCCAAGGACGCCCCAAGCGGTGAAGGGGGGTTGTACTTGAGTTAGTACATGATGTATCAGAGACGCGGAAGGGAGAGTGCTTTACGAGAGGAAACAATGTATCGCGCTATGGCAGGGTCCCGACTCTTCGGCGCGGGGATGGGATGTATCCCCCTTCCTCTATACTTGGCGGTTCGCCTTCCGAAGGTTCTCCAGCCCGTCGGCGGGGGGGGGAGGGGCCTGGTTGTCAAGTCCATCAACGCATGGGTGGAGGTCCCGTAGCTTGGGGGCTTTGACCAACCACAGTAGCCTGTGACGTAGTCTACGGAGCTGCAGGACCAGGGGGAGCCTCAGTGAAAAGTGGCCACTAAGCTGCAGGACCAGGGGGAGCCTCACTAAAAAGTGGCCACTAAGCTGCGCGTGCGACCGACATGTATGCGACCGAACGTGCATGCGACCGCTCCCACGACAGCTTGGGCTGAGAACAGGGTTGTTGAGTCAGACCAAGTATGCAATATCGAGGGAAGACAGACCACCAGAGGTCTGGTCCCACTGGCTGGGCTGGGTTTGAATGGTGGTGTGGACGGATCCGTGATCCTGTGAGCTTGTGGGAGATGGTGAAGGGCTCCAGGGACCACGGAGTGTGGTTTTTTCTCCTGATGGGAAGACAATTAATTGGTAGACAATATCGGCAATTGTCAAGGTAGGCCAGCCAACAAGAACAAAAGGGAGCGACTCATAATACAGAGATAATAATGAACTTAATACACCTCGACAGTCATCGCCATCAGCTCTGAGAAACAAGAAGCGTTCGTTGCGGAGTCGCTGCTCGTCGAACCCATGGTGAGAATCGACTCCGGCCTCAAGTAAATGCAAGGCAGAAATAGCAGCATCGAATCAATGACACGTCAACACGGCAACCAGCCTGTTTCTAATCAGGGTAAGATCAATGCGACCGACCTCCGCTAATGCAAGCCCATCTGCCCGGCTATTAGCCAGATATTACGCCAAAGTTGTTCGGGCCGCGCACGCAGTTGGGTGCCGGGGCTGCGCTGACTAGTGCGAAATATGTCCTGCAGCAACGCAATAAATTGCAGCGCTAATAAACTGTCCTGCAGCAACAACATACATTGCATTTGAAGCACAGTGACACATGTGCCAAGCGCACATGTATTTAATCACACCAATATGACGTAAACGGAAACCACGACATGAAAACATCAAAGTTCCTTAGATTGACCATAACCTTCCAGCACCCATTTTGAGATCGTCAAGATATACTCTTTGCAAAGGTAGGTGACTCAGAAATGCGCAAGAGTAATAATTACCAACAGTAAAATGGCCCCGAGTATCGTCCCTAGGGTATGCCGAGGTTGAACCCGCGTCTTTAGAATGGGGTCGTCCTGAGGAACGCCACCTTCAGCAGTCTGGGGCTCGGGGGGAGAATCCACTGGTGCTGCGGTAGACGCGGGCCAGCTTCTCAACCGTAGGCGGTATCCTGGGCGTTCCCGAAACTCTGAAACATATCGAGACGTAGGCATTACGTATATTGGTCGATGAGAGTAGTCAGGGGAATAAACGCGAAAGTGCTTATCCGTGGTTGCGATCAAGACGACCGTGAATGGATCAGGAATTAGTCGATTGGAAGCACCGTCACGGTCGATGACTGTTCGGCTATTCGTTGTGTTGTTCTCGGCCGGAGGGTAGTTCGTGAAATTTTGGCTGGGGCCGTCATAAAAGGGGTCAGGTGGCCGATGGGCTTGACAGACGCATCGCACTTGTTGTTCGAAGGCATGTTGTTCCAGCGAATTCAGCGTTGCGAGGTTGGAAATGCAACAATAGACTGGAGTCTAGTGGTGGTTAGTACCAAGAGACTGAAGCCAATCAAAGAGTTGACGCAGACCTGGGAGCTCCCGCGGAGCGGAGGCTGAGGCTGAGGAGACCGTGGTGCTGAAGAAGCAGTGGCTGACGAGGAAAGGAAAAGATGAGACCCAGGGGCGCTGGCACTGGGATAAGAAGCCATGACAACCGAACGATGACTAAAGGTGAGACTGAAAGGCTTTTCCCATTTACGGCCTATCTCATTTGCGACCTTTTGTTGCGAGACTTGCTTGGTGATCGTGTTTGTTCTAGATAGCATATTTGGCGTTTGGAGGATGCGTGAGGCCACGTCCGAGACAAATACGGGTAACAGGCAACGCATGGGACTTTGAAGATGCTGCCACCGATCATCTTAGCATTACTGCACAGTCGACTAAAAGGATGAAATTGGTTGAAGCTGGATAGCGTGTTGAGCTTTGGCAGCGTAATCGCGTTTGAAGAAGCTTGAGGCTGATGTTTGAGGCTTGCAGCCACAGGGCATTCAAACTTGGAGCGGCGCCAACCCTGGACAAGGAGTGCAATGGGCTAGTCAAGCTGTGAAATTCTGTCAGGGCCACATACGCACAGCAGTCACGGTAATTGCGAAATCTCTCACCATTTAGCTCGAGCGTTTGTAATGCAGTTACGCATCCCATGTCATCAGTCATCCACGCCGAGCAACTGGATGGGCATTGCGCACAACACCGGAAGCTCTACCGTCGGGTCTCTGGGAGCAACGCGCCAGAAAAAATAGAGTTCCGCATCCCAATATGAGAGGAAATTGAAGGCGTGCTGTCTCGGGAAATGTGTGGACGGTGCTGAAGCGGGAAAATGACTGCTCGTTTTAGCTGCTGTTCATGTAGCACAACTCCACCTGGCCGAGGTACTGTTATTATTACCCTCTGCGTGTTGGTTGGGTTTAATCAGTCTCTATTTATTCACTGTTTAAAAGAAATATTTGCAGCCGGAACAAGTGGAGGTTCATTTGTCGTGTAGGTTGGTTACGTCTTCGGCGCAGATGACACGGTTGGCCCAGCAGTCGGCCGCACAAGGAGGCTGGATGCATACAGGGCACGCTTTGCCATCTTTCAGAATGAATTGAATGGCTTGGTTCTTTATGCATGTGTAACAAGCCCTTACCCCATGCAAGAGGCTATCGTGGGGGACGGGCGCATCATAATGTCCCCAACAAGCCTTTCGGCAGGGGATTGGCTCCATGCCATGACAACGAGTCTTGGCACTCCATGTTAGACCAAGATAGCTGGATTTACAGTTCCGCCTTACGCGGACTATTCCGGATAGGCTAGCCCGTGGAAAACATCTGGTGCGGTATCTGAGCAGTCCAGCCACGACTAAACGCACCGAGCATCAGCGACGCCTACTCCAAGTTTCCACATGATCAGGTATCGTGGCTGAAACTGCCCATTATGTGTCTCGAATTTACAACTCAGATGTGCTAACCTGTGATATGCAGCAAGGTGCTATCCGCAACATGTGGTTTTGACCTGCGTGGCTCCGGCTCCCCCGAGATGAACAACCATGAGGGAAGTCATTTGGGTGCTCTCTGGCGTCACTTTCCAAAATCCAGGTTACCCGTCCGGCGGTAATTGATGTGGCAGGAGATTTGGCATAACAGAGACACCCGCTCCGTCGGCTCGCTTCCTGGCTCGTGTAACCACGATCAGTGAGCTGCAACTGTTTGCTACCCATGTGATCCATCCAACCAAACCGATCGAGACATCCTCACCGACTCTTGGACAGATTGCATACGTGTTGGCAGCTCGCAGTCTTACCTCTATCATCTCAGAGAATCTCCCAAATCTTGGGGCCGTGATTCCTCATCTCCAATTGCACCTCTCGCAAGTCTTCAAACCCTCCCTCATGTACCGGCTGTCACAGCTGACTAGGGTAAATATCCTTCACTCGTTGGTACCTTAATTGACCTAAGACACCCGGACACGCATGACCCACTGGAGGCGGGGATTTGTGTGGCGATGCTAGCTTTCTTGGGTCCATGAGAAATTCCCGTTTACATTGGCACGAGTTTCACATGGATGAAGTGGCCCCTAGACACGGCTCTCATCCAGCCACGACCACTTACACCTTTCCATCTCCTGGATCATTCATCTACTCCCTTTCAACGAACTTGTTTCCTTTTTTTCATCCCTCGAATCCGTCAATCGGCACTCTTGTCACCTCACATCCAACCACTTCGTTGCCCACCATGAGGGGCAAACTATACCGCATATCGCGCAAGCTCAAGGTAAGGTCCTTCTCGCACCCACGATGCCTCCCTCTTGACCACGATGCTAATCCCGGAGTAGTATCTAGGAGCCGTCTTGATCCGACGGGGCCCTTTCGCCTTGCCTTTCGAATTCACCGACGAACACCATCGCGAGATGTGGGCGCACATTGCCCGTCATGGCCTCGTCGTGGAAACTTACAAGAGTCACTTTGAAGAGCTCAGCAACGCGTTGAATCTCGATGCTCTTGGCGCCCGAGCCAAGGCGGTGGCGGTAGGACTTCTCCGAAAGAGCCTCAAAGACAAGACCCGATCGCTCAAGGATCAAAAGATTCTCATCTGCACACGTGGTGATGGTGGCAAGGCCCTTGGTGTTTACCCGTATTGGGTGCAGGCTTGGGCTCGCCCTGGCTGGAACGGCGACATTACCGTGCCTGCTGTCGAAATACCCCAGGCTACTCACAGGGACGGTGGCAAGGTCCTACCTCATGGGCATTCGACTGTTACCGATAACGAATCCTGGTCCTCCGCGTCGGGTGGAAAAGTTGATCCGGTCGTTATGAAGGCTCGTCATGAAGTTATGAGACGAGTCGACGCCGAGGTCAGAGGGATTCATGTCGGTCGAAACAGACTTTCCGATCGATTCGAAGACGCCTTTTCTCGTCAAAGGGCCACCCCGAGATCTTTGAAGTACGTGGCCAAGAGTCGGAGAGCTTCCAGGAAGCAGGCGTTCGAAAGTGGGACAGCTGGGGATGAAACCGACAGGTACAAGGCTGCTGAGCAGCAGGTTGCAGACCGGAGACTTGCTGGGCAAATCGTTGCTGGGCAAATCGTTGCTGAGCAAGGTGTCGACTACGAGCGAGCTGCCCAACTGAGAACCGCCGACCAAAGTGATATCGACAAGAGAGGTTTCAATCAACCGGTGAGGAGATCTCCCAGAACACCCGGATATCGGAGACTCGAGATCGCCGCGGAGCAGGCTGAGACTGATGTGTGGTTGGCGGAAGCCGAGGTCATTCGGAGGCAAGAAGAGCTTCAAGACATCACTCACAAGGTCTCTAAGTGGAAGGAGATCGACGACCTCAGCCGCAAGATCGTCGCTGCGAACCAAGAGCGAGATCGTCTTGATGATCAAATCATGCGAGCCAAAGTGGCGCTGTCGCCCTTTCCAAACGTCCCAGCCCAGCGTCTCGCCAAAGAAGGGCTCGGTCATGTCTTCACCCGCGATTGGCTCACCACGAATCCGACCTCCTCCAAGTTCAATTCCGACGAACCTCGCCTCGGCCTCGCCACTTTGATGCGTGAGACGGCAAACAAGATGGAAGCCAGTTGCCAGGCCAAGGCTGAACAGTTCGCCCAGCAGGTGCGCATCGACCAGCGAAAGAGCCGGGCGGATGATTTCGCCCGCCGACAAGCCGTTGCAGCTCGTCCTCGTCGAGCCAGAAAGTGTTATGCCAATGATGGCAGTGAGGGAGACTACGGATCTGTGTCGAATGAGCGGATGCAACAATATCGGTTGAAGAGATCGGGGTACTCCCAAGGTTGTTCCTCTGTTGGCCAGCATCCTCCCGAGCAAAAACTGGAGCACAAATCTCGCGGTGTCAAACCAGATTCGCGGCTCGAATCGCTCGATGGCATTCCACCACAGACTCTCGACTCTCTCTTCGGCAGTGAAGCTATGTCTGGCTCTCAGCAGAACTTCTCTCCCAATGTTGGTCAGTCATCGCAGTCTGCTCGACCTGAAGTACGTCACCACAGCCAGGTCTCAATGTCCACAGCCTTCCACAGCTCTCCGACTCCGACCCTACCACAAGCGCCACGACCAAGCTTCTCTCAACCCCATCGACAAAGCCCGCCGCCTATCCCACCGCCCATGATCTTCGAAGAACCCGACCGAAGCCCCGGGCCACGACCGTTGTCCTTGTATGACGTTGAACAAACCAACACTCGATTCTACGCTCACCTGAGGAACCGCATATCACAGCTAGGGGGTATTCCTTCCGCTGTTCGAGATCGGGAGTCTGAAATCTTCAGCCAGAGCCTTGCTGCGGCAGACGTAGCGCGTCAGCAACTGTTCACAATTTTGCGGAGGAATGCATCCCGCGGGTCGATACAGCCTACAGCTTCAGGGCAGAACGGTCTGGGAATTGAGTCTAGGCAAAGTGGTCAACATTTTAAGTCCGGTCAGTGGCGTTGAGTTGGCTGTAGTGCAGGAGCTTGATTGTGCTATGGTTGCAAAACGACGAACATGGTTGGAGCTGAGGTCTAATAATTAGTTTTCAGGAAGACGGTACAGTGCGATGTTGTTCGATGGGAAACGAGGATCGATTTAAGGATTCATGGACTGCCTACGTGGAATGGACGAATGGAAGCTACTAGCAGAAGGTAATTAGATCAGATCGCAAGTTCGAAAGCATTGTTGAACGATCTGCGCACTCTCGTATTGGAGCCTCGAATAAGCCTTCGGCTGTCTTGTAACAAAGCTCCACAGGTTACCGTACTTGATTAGGGTTATGGGTTCTTCGGGGACAGTCTGCGAAGAGGTTTGGGCATCGCGCCACCGCCTGCATGAGGCTCTTAATATCCCATTTCTACTACATGGGTTTGATGTGTCCACCACGCACCAGCTTGCCTGGAATGCAATCTCTGTGTTGGACTCAATGTTCTCCCGCCCACTACCGGCGTTGGCTTTAGCTTCGACACTCATTGATCCAGCGGTGAAAGCTACCTTTGCCTCAGCCTGGATATCCGTCTTCTTGGCCTTATTGAGGATCTTCATGCTGATGGCCGCGTTGGCCTTACCACCCTTCAAGAACCCCGAGTTGAAGCAGTCACCGTAGGCCTTGGCAAATTTGCCCTTGTCGGTGCAATTCATGAGCTTGTACTCGAGTCCATCCTTGAAGTCGATGGTCAGGTTGGCAACCTGGACGCAATTATCAAGGTCAAATCCGACTCCTTGAACTTGTCACTGTCGGTGAAGGAGCCTCGGCCACTTTCGCCAATCTTGGCAGCTTTGATGGAAAGAGCGCCAGGAATCCACATGTCGTCTGTGATGTCGCTCAGTCGGTCTATGAACCGGCTGGTGTAGGTGACGGTCTGGCTCGATCCTAGAGGTGCGTTAGGATCGAAGACGCAGTCTTGTTCGTTCTCACTCATGCCTTTCCGTCGGTCACCAAACTGATTCTGCTTTAGAATAGCTTCCGTCTCCGTCATGGTAAGTGACGTGCTCTTGGCGGTGGCGGCGTCTTTGATGGACTTGTACATGTCCTTGCGGCGGTCGTCCTCGAACGGGTGTTTCTCTTCGCATATCTGCCGCTGGCTGTCCCGCTCTTCTGCTATGTGTCTTCGATCCTCGTCAGGGTTTTCTGTCTTGGCAGATTGGCTGTCGAGAGATTTGGGGATCTCAGCTTCGGAACCGGTCGTAGACTCAGGTTCAGTATTCTCAACTGTATCCTCCACGCTATTAGTCTCTGCAGCGACAGGGGCGTAGATTCTTCAGACTCAGTGGTGTCTTCAGTCTTCAGTCTCCTTCATCTACCAGGCCCATCGACTAGCGGCCCGGGTTCTGGTTGCTCTTGGTCGTCCTCCAAATCTTCGTGCTTCTCGTCGTCTTGAGCTTCGACTTCTCTAGTCCGTTGAGAAATCTCGCTCTCCTCATAATCGGGGTCCAGGTCCGGTAAGGCTTTCAATGGCTCCTTCTTGAGGCCAATTGCACAGTCGTCGACAACCACTTCCTTCTGGCGCTTCCAGGCCAAGCAGTTTCTGAAAATCTCCGCAGAGTTGGCGTGCAGCCACAGTCGTCGCCACAGCCAGGGCAGCGCCACTGTAACAACCGCTGTAAGAACCGCTGTAACAACAGTAGCAGTAGGCGTGGAGCACTGACAGCGGCCCCACAACAGCACCCGGACTAGAGTCATAGCAACAACATGCCTCTTAATGCGCTTTTCCCAAGTGTCTTGAGGGAAGCCTTGGCTGGTAATTAAGCTGCGTCAATATCTAAATAAGTACAGATTTGGCTTTAGCTTGGTTACGAGCACCTCGAAGTGATTTGGAGGTTCGCTGATAAGGAAACGAACATCTCCATGCCAAAATATGGCAGCGTAGCCACTTCCTCCAGACATGTGTGTTCCGCCACTGGAAGTGTTTCGTAAGCAAGATGCTCCTTGCCCATCTTGATAAACAAGGTGATATATTTGCTAGTTTACTCTTGAGATAACCGGGTATCAAGTGAAGCATTGGAAAGGGCCTCGAGCCGCAGGCTCCTCTCTGGCCGCTTCTCAAACGAAGGGCTTTCCTCGCCCTTAGCCTACTTCTGTCGACATCACCGTAAAGTCCAGGCCAACGCTGTACCCGAAAACATTGAACCACTGTATTATTGAGATCCATAGAGAATCATCTTGTGCTATTTGCATCTAGGCTGCTACTTATGAAACTCGGTAGGCAATGAGCCACGCTCATCGAAGGTAGCCAAAGTCCCTTCAATTCTGAAAAGCCACCACCGAAAGTGGGCATGGCAAGGCCTTCCAACAATTCCCCCAACTGACTTCAGCAAGTATCGACTTCCATCTCTGGGAAATAAACTCCAAATGTCGGTGTCCAGAGTCCTGAAAGCATGCCGGGTTGAACATGTCTCTGTCGTAGAAGGCCAACAGCTTCAATACACTGCCTCCCATCTGCTCCCTCCTAACCACGGCTACAAGATCTAAAATTCGGCTAGGTACTGAGCTTCGAACTCGGCTAGGTACTGAGCTTCGAGCTTGGCTTTGTACCGAGCTTCGAGCTCCTCATTTGTCTCCTTCACTGCGTCTTCTTTGTCCTCGGGGCCCAGTGGCAGACCAGTGAGCTTGCATGTAACACGTGGGCAGCTCGTTGGGTTCAGAGCACCAGAGCGGAATGCTGCAGTCATGACTTCGACCAAGCGTCTGACTTCCTGAGGCATTGGCAGCTCCGATAGTCCGTCCAGTTTCATGGCCGGCAAATATCGGTTGAGGAACTTCCAGGTGCAGTCTTGGTGGCCTTCCCAGATACAGTTGGCACAGGATCCTCCGAGGGCTTTCGAGTAGGAGACGCAGTCGGCAAAGGGGCCGAGGATATGCTCGCCAGATTCCGTTGTTGTCGTCGCGTACTTGCGGGCGCAGCACTCGCACATTCGGGGGTTTCTCAAGCCGTAGAACATGACGAACAAAGCTGTAGCGGAGGCGGTGTTCCCCATGATGCTCGCAACGAGGTACCCGCGGTAGTGTGCGAGCTCGGCAGGGACGTAGACACTTCTGGTGTCTCCGTGATTGTTGGGGGGGCCAAAGTCTTTCCAACCGGGGAAGTCAATCCTGTCTTTCCAAAACCCAAGGGCAAGTTCTTTCATGTCGTCTCCGAGATCCTCGCGAAAGGCCAGCTCCAGGTACTTGGGGCGCCTGATGCGTTCGACAGCGGCGTGGTTGCAGATCCAGAGCGAGAAGGTGCTGTGGAAGCGAAGAAGGGCGCCCTCGGACAGCTCCTCTTCGCCCACGATTCGGCCCTTGCCGCCGTCGGTCAGCAGCGTGGTCGCATGGAAGGTCTTTTCGAGGATGGTGCTGACAGCAGCGATTCGGACGTTGGGGAGGGTTGTCGGCGGCTGAGAAGCAATAAGTTTCAGCTTCTGGGCTTTGGTCTCGGGATCCATGGTTGCTGGGGAGTTGTCAGCTTGGCTTCATGCACGTAGGAGAAGCAGAAGAATCTGTACTGCACGTACTTGGCGATGATTGAAACGGAGAGACGATGTGTGATGCTTGATGCGTACTCTCATCGGCCGTTTCGATGGCCAGGGGGGAGGGGGGGTGTTGGAACTTGGTGATGAAGAAATGAGGAGAGAGGAGCAGAGTACGTAGGTTGAGTCCCGTCAGCAAAAGAAGTTTGCAAGGCAAATAAGCAGAAGGATAGAGAAGACGGGTGCAGAAGCAGCCAGTGGGCAAGCTACTGTTTCCATGTTTATGTCTACCAAAATTGCTCCCCTATTGGCTCGACATTGCTTTATCCTGTATATTTCCCACGCATTCAACGTAATGCAGATGAATTATGTACATTGTGTGCCTTTTAGGCCTTGCTTGCATTCTGTGTGCTACGCATGACCTACTCTCAGAGTGGACAAAACTTGTCACAAATTTCACCACTCGCCACAAACCAGCACCCACAAACGCTACCCGAACCGTTCCTCTCCCTTCTCTCTTCTTCTTTCACCACAACTCAACTTTACAAACGTTTCTCTTTTCTTTCACTGCACACGACGCTTCCATACTTGCACAGCATCCTCGCCAAGGCCTACTACTGCCGGCTAGGTGCAGACAGTGCAGCTGCATCTGCATCCGTTTCTCCCTCTTTTCATGTCCCCTGCCGTTGTCTTTCTTCTTGTTGTTCTGGCTTTGTCAGCTCTTCTTTCTCTTCTACGTTTTCCTACTCTCTGGGTATAATGACGTCTCGTCGGTATCCTAGTGAGTATTACTCTCCCCTCTTCGCCCTTCAGAACCTGCGCATGCTAACCTGCGCATGCTAACCTGCTCAATAGTGATGCTTGGGTGGGTGGGTGGCAGCATTGAGGACCGGGCAGAATTCCTTGAGCCTCCTCCATGTCATCCTCGTCTATTCATTGCCCCTCCCTATCCCAAACGAATGCTCTTCTACACCTTCTCCATTGTCCAGGAAGGGGGCTCGCAGCCCTTCACGCATCCTTCGGAAACAACGGGCAGAGCGAGCATCCAAGACGCTTTCCCTCACCAGCCCGCACAGTTCCAGCCTCGCACCGACTGGTCTCACTGGCCGCACGCAGGTCCCGGCCTTTTGTCTGTGAGTGACTCGGAGGAGGAGATCAGTGCGAAGATAGCGCGATCCGCTGCCAGCCCATCTGCAGCATTTGAGAACGGAGCCAAGGTCGGCCATCGCGACTGGCACAAGCAACAAGTCGACCTCTGGCACCTCTTTCAGGCGATCCAAGGTCAGAAGCCGCCCCAACGAACCGACCTCGTTCCATTCCTGTCGTTGATCCAGTCCGGCTTGGAGAGTCAGGTCGGAATCATGCGGAAGCACATCTGCCTCACCGACGATGCCCTGTTGGCCAACCCTGCACCTAGCGAACGCGGCCACTGTTCATCCTTCCCCGCGGGAACACATATGGTGAATGGAGACTTCACCATGGGTTTCTCCTCTCTCATCGCTTTCAAGGAAGAAATGTTCAACCGCCGCTTCTTCATCGGCTTCTACGACATGGTTGACACCACCTGCGGTTCCATTATCTGGGACCGCCCCTGTGGACACCTCTACATCTACGACACTGATGGGAAAGCTCATAGTACGAATCGGGAGAGTCGGCTTCGACTCGTTACCATCGCATTCAGGCAGATCCTGACCTGGAGTGGAATGCCGTTCAACTTCGAAGTATGCTCGCCACCACTCACGCCAGAGCCCGAACGTTGGAACACCGGCTTCAATTGGACGGCCATGTCCGGCTATCTTGCCACGACCATGTTGATTTTCGGCATCCGCGGACTCTTTGGCATAAGCTACAGTACTCTTCCCAGGAGTAATAAACATGGCAGTCTCGAAATCGACGGCAAAGGAGGCCCTTCAACACTTAGTTTCGAGCTTCGTCATCGTGACTGGCATGTCCAGCCTTGGCGCAACGGTACAGAGGACCTTCTCAAAGCAATCCGCAGGAACAGTCTTATGCTTCAAGCCATCATCATGGACCAGCTCGGAATCAAGGACCTCAAGTTTCTCGACACAACAGGCACGGTGGTCAAGTTGACGGACTTGGCTGATGGCGAGATGGCTTACTTCCCACAATCACCCACCACTATTGAAAGCAGTGTCGACGACATCTACACCAACTTTGGCGGAGCCCAGTACGTGACTTTCGGTTCAACCAAAGTCCTCCCTGGTACCAGATTTGGGCGCCTTATCCAGGTGCCAACCCCAGTGCCAACGCTGGCCACTCCCAGCATGCCTCACTCCCGACCAGACGTTCCATTTCCCCGCCCGCTTGTTCCCATTTCTCTCACCACCTGCTGGCGCTTTCTCCAACGAGGGGCTATCATGGGCCGAGAAATCCCCCTGCACGGTTCGGAGCAGATACTGCCACTCTTGGAGAATCAACCAACAGGACTTGGAGGTGCTGTGCCGGCCCCGGAAATCGATGGCGCGCTCTGGGTGCTCATGGATGAAAAGACCATCAGCCGTCAGCATGATGCAGCGCAGCAATATGAGGATGCTCCCGGTGCGAAAGAACTCGTTCTTGGAATCTCAGAGTCGCTCGACCTGCAGCCTCTGAGTATCACGACCTTGTACATGCCGACCTCGAGATCGTACGAAACCTTTACTCTGAGTGGACTGGTGGGCGAGAAGGACTGGGACAGGGTGATTGAGGAGGTGTGCGACGCTACGGCGGAGTAATTTGGTTGCAACACATGGAGTACTGGACCACTGGTATATGGTCGATAGGTAGGATAGGACGAGCCTGAAGTTGTCCAACTGTAGAAATAAATGTCAAAGTTATGTAACTTCTCGTTCCCAGGTGACGCAATGATCAATACACGTGTTTAACATTTCTATCGCTATCAAAATAATTATTCCTTCTTCTCTTGCGACGCATCGAAATCGCCCATGGTGTTACGCTCCCCCTTCAAATACGGTATGGGCGAAAAGAACTCGACAAAGCCAATATTCGGACTGGACAGTGTGTATCCGAGTGCCTTCTGGGCCTTCTCAGACCAAGTCAGAACTTCTTCTGGAGGGGTTGCTAGATAGATGTTTTCCTCCTGTCGGAGGTAGCCACGAATGAAGAACATGCCGTGCACTGATCGCTTCTCGAGCTGGGTTACGTTTGCGCCGCCGGCGTGATACAGTCCGCCGAGCATGATCCAGCAGTCGCCAATGTCCATCTCGGCATAGAGGGCTTCTTCAGTCTTGGGAACGCGGTCCGAACTCCAGAGGTGGCTTCCGGGGATCGCCAGAGTCGCGCCGTTCTCGACAGTCGTCTTGACACCCGGGACCAGAAACGCCATCATCACATCAGTGCCGACCTGGTAGCCGGTCTGCGTCTGGTCCGGGTGGTGCACGTGGTAGTTCTTGTCGTCGCGATGCAGGCGCTGTGCCTTGCCGCCGGGGCCAATCTCAAACGTCACGGCGATGCTGCACACGGCCTCGCTGGTGTACGTGTGCTTGGTCTCGCCGTAGTAGTTGGACGTCGTCTTGTCGACGAACTTGGCGTTGCAGGCGCGGATCAAGGGGTCGACGAGCCACTTCTCGCGGACTGTCTTGCTGCGGCGGGCGAGATTCGCACAGCGGCGAGTCTCGGGGGGGAATAAATCACCCTGCGTGGGGTGATGAGTACATTACGACTAAACCGGGGATTTGATTGGGCTGCTTACCTTCCAGGGCAGATCTGCGTCTAAATATGGGCGTGTCTCAGCGTTGACCTGGTCGACGGTGGCTGCATCTGTAAAGTTCTTGACGATGCAACCGCCGTCCTTAGTCAGGGCGTTGATGATGCCCTCGACATCGGATCGGTCGATGCGCTGGATGGACGGGTACGACGTGACGGCCATGGTTGGATCAAGTAATTGAATTGCTAATTATTGCGTCAACTCACGGCTATCCCCGTGAGCACAGATGGTTTATATTCCCGTCCTCTCCTTTACGTCTCCATCGACGCCGTGTGTCATCGCGTTATCTGACAGTTCTGGCCGAGCCCAATCGGACTCTCTTTCCAGATGTCTTCGGCGTCCACTTTCCTATCCCAGGGCCACGGTGCGGGGAAGCGCCAATCGTGACGCTTATCATGTGGGCGTCCCACCGCGTCGTATCTACTAAGTCGTATCTGCTCAGTACTAAGTCGTATCTACGCTACCCAAGTTACGCGGTAGCATCGCGCCGTTATGCTGGAATGGGAAGTTTAGGGCGAACAGGGTCAACAGGGGAGGGGCTTATCGCCCTTGTCCAATCCAGTCGCGGTCGTCCAAATCAAATCGGATCCCAGACACATCTCCCCGTTACATCACAGCCAACGTGTTGCCTCCCCACCGGGATATCTGCCTGGCAATGCTCCGGCACAGCGCCTGCGTGAGCTGTCGTTCTCGGAAGGTCAAATGCGACAGGCTTCTCCCTACGTGTTCCACCTGCTGCAGACTGAATCGTGAGTGCGTCGCCCCCGCCCGCTCTCCCGAGATCACCTGGTTGCATGCGGATACCGTCGGGGAGGGCGCCCCGGATGAGCATCACCAGTACGAGCATCAACAGCGACAGCATGGCGCCAAGAGCCTGCCACTGCTTTCAGGTAGGCTGCTGTATCTCAATATGGGTGCTAGTTAGTGCTGACATGTCGCGTTGAGAGGGCGAGCGAGCTCGACACGTAGCCACCATCTTGTCTGCAATCCAGGACGTCTCTGTCGAAACATTGCTCACGGATCTTGATATCCGAACTCGGGACTTTGAAGTTGGCGATACCGCTACCCTTGGCCCCTTCAGCGTCTTTCAACTTCCCGGTGCAACCGAGATTGCCGAACAGGACATTGAGGCCATTGAAATCCAGTATCAGGATAGCCCTTCGACAAGTCTCATCCTCGACGCTTTCCCTATGAACAATACCCTAGACAATGAAAACAGGGTGTCTATTCTCGACGAATCGCCATTGCACCTCTCCCTTCCCGACCAACAGCTCCTCAACCCCAGCCTAGACGCCGCTGACGATGACGATCTCTGCACACACCTCTTGGATGATAGATCCGTCTTTGAAGATCTTATTCTTCCTTCTGATGGCTTTTCCTTCATTATCCCCCCTGGAATGCCAATATCCTACTCATTCAACGTAAATGACCTCGATTTTCCCACCATTCGGCTCCTCCTTGATCGCTATCAACACGGACTCGTCCCCTGCTTCTCTCCTGCGCGGATTCATTCCAAGTCTCCGTGGGAAACTCTACATATACCCAAAGTCTATGAGACTCTTGGGGAGTTCATGGTCACAGGTGACGCCGGCAACTCAAAAGTGTCACTCTTCTTCGCCGTCCTCGGCGCCAGTGCATTTCATCTCGACATTCTCAGCCCCTCATCAAACGACGGCTCTGTTCCATGGAAAATCATCGGTGACAGATACCGCATCCAAGCGAAGTCGAGACTCAAGACTTGTCTACAAAGCCTTTCTTCGGGTCGAAAACAAGAAGACTACGATGATGTGCTCATGGCTTTGTTAAGCATGGTGACTCTTTGCGTAAGTGCCATCTACATCTCAAAACTCTTCACTCCTAACATAGTGTAAATAGGTCGTCAGTGGGGATATGGAAGAGACATATGCGTATCTACGCGATATTGAGCACCTGATTGCTCTCTACGGTGTCAACGAAATACGCAAATCACCTGGTGTCCGAATGCTGCACAGCACCTTCCTATACCTACGCACGTTGCAGGCCAGCGTTGGGATTTTTGGGACTCAATCCCAAGCATCAGTTAATGGACATTTGAAAGTCCTCGAAGAGGTCGAAAATGTCTTTGTGCTCTCGGATCAGAATGCAAACCTCTGGTCAAGCCTTCTTCCGGCGGATGGAAATTTCGACGTCTCCACGATGCTTACCGCGACCACATCACCACCATGTCACATTTGTGGGAGAAATAAGTCCATCTTCGAGCGAATATACTCGCTGCCCGAGCCTTTGTTTCAATTAATATCGCGTGTCACGACACTTGCGCAGAGAATGGAAATTCTCAGACGAAGTCAGTGGGGATCAACAGATCCGGATCATGACTTGCTTTCTGCCGATGCCAGCCAGTTGGAAACGGATATTTGCGACTGGAGGAACGACATCGCCAATCCGGATCAAGAGAGCGTTCTCACACTCTGCTCTCTCTGCATAGCGGAAGAAGAGTCAGATCCAACGCAAGAAAAGACCGATGGCCGATCACGCGTGTCATTATTGTACCATTTCAGAGAAGCGATGCATGCAGCTCTGCTTATTTATTTCTACCGCTGCGTCAGAAATGTCGACACACACATCCTACAACAATTCGTCGACAAGACGTTCGACCATCTAACACGGTATGGCGAATACAAGCGGAAATCCAACGATCCTTCTTCGAATCTTTGCTGGCCCGGATTCATCGCAGGCTGCGAGGCATCAAACCGCGATACCCGGGACAAAATCTCGGCTTGGTTCAGCTCAGAGACCGCTTTGACAGGAATTCGGATGTTTGAAGTCGCAGGCCAGGCGGTCAAGCAGGTTTGGGAGGCTCGAGATTTAGCAAGGAATCGGAATCTTCCCTAGTCAAAAATACTCATGGAGAGCAGTACACTAAACCAATTAGTCTTGAGCTGAAGCCAATGAAATAGCCTAAGATGAATGACAGTATTCTAAAATACATGAACCCTGCTATATGCACGGAAGTACTCCCCCGATGATGACAATATCCCCCAACCTAGCTCTATCTCGGCAACGACTTTTTACTCAAAACTGCAAACCGCCAGGCGTCATTGCGGACTCGTACTGGAGGTATGGCTGGAACTCAGCGTACAAGCTGTCCTATCTGGCTTTTAGCACTATTTTTTGAGGTTATGAGCGGAAAACATACCGGTTCGCTTGTCATTTCAAAGGTATACTTGGCTGCTTCATCATTGATGAACACCTTCTGTCGCCCACATGCTGCCGCCGCATCAGCTGCCAGCTGGATCTGGCAACTCTTCTCCATAAGCATGAAGAGATACGCCGCTTCATCCACCGTGTCCCCAACGGTCAGCAGACCGTGGTTTCTCAAAATCATTCCCTTGCCCTTGCTTCCGAGACTTTTGGCTAGAGCTTCGGATTCCTCGTCCTTGAGCACAATGCCACCAAAGTCGCTATACACGGCTTGGGCTTCGCCGTAGAAGATGGTGACGTCTTGGTTGATCATCTCGAGTGGTTGCGCAAACGCAGACCACGCCTTTCCGTGCACTGAGTGAAAGTGGCATGCGGCGTTGACGTCGGCGCGTGCTTCGTGGAGGGCGCTGTGGATGAGGAATCCAGCTGCGTTGGCGGGAAGCGATGAGTTGCCACCCATAAATTCACCATTTTTATCCAAGAGAATCATGTCTTCGGGCTTCAGGAGGGCGAAGTGAATGCCAAGACTGAATTACTCATTAGAACGTACTCATCTTTCCGGACCGGACTTTGGTTGAACTTACGGGTTGGTCCAAAAGACACTAGGATCTCCAGGGTCTCTCAATGAAATATGCCCACTGATTCCTTCGACGCAACCGTGTCGGGCCAACACTCTAAATGCACCGGCCATATGATTCAGCATGTGGTTTCTCGCCTTTTCCACATCTGAAAATATCGGCCTCCCGGGGAGAGTGACGCCCTGGCTCAGCGCCTTCAACGCATTTGACTTGTTTGTGGAAGTCTTCTCCGCGACCTCGGAATGTGTCTTCTTTACCGATTGAAGGCTGGCGGGCACATAATCAACCACCGTATCGTCGTTATTAACATGCGGCGCCATGTTGAATCTCAATGTCAATAGCTCGGGATTCAGGGAGATACGAGTGACAGGCACAATTGGCTTGAAGTGAAATGGCTGTGAACGGATAATACACGCTTATCGGCGGACTTGAAGAGAGAATGAAGATGGTTCTGCCTCGGTTGCCACTGACTCAAGAGCCTTTCACTAACCTGGTCCCACTGGTTAGTTGCTTTCGGCTACAATCAATGTGGACCACGACCCCACGATACGGCCGTGCAAAGGGAAGGTGGGCCCCGACGGCGGGGTTGGTGAAGCTATCACGGACCACGTGAGCTATCTCCAGTCTCAACCACCAGTATTGTTTATGAGATAAGCGGGCATCCCTATTGGCGTACAATAAGGGGCCCTCCTCCACCTTGAAAGGACCTCGAACATCACAGGTCGAGTTGGAATATCTCGTTCTTCTGATATCTTCTTGAATAATTTCCTCTCTCTACTGAAAAACATCACTTCCAATAAGTCAACTGTACTGCCAGCAAGCATGGCTAGTAATTCCGACAAAGGCGAGAAGACCTCGCTGGGAGACCATGAGAAATCAACATCTCCTGAACCAGCTAGAAGCTCTCTTGAAAATGGTCAGATTGTCCGTGACGAGGCTTTTGGTGATCTCCATCGAAGCTTCACCCCACGACAGATTCATGTATGATCCGCAGCTATCATCACGCCGTGCGGGCGAGCTAACTAAATTATCTAGATCATATCTCTCGGTTCCAGCGTCGGCAGCGGATTGTTCATCGCCATCGGCAAGGCCTTGGCCAACGGTGGACCCGGCACCATGTTCCTCGCATATCTGATGGTTTGCAGTGGAGTGTGGGCCAATCTCCAGACTCTAGGTGAAATGACGGTGGCCTTCCCCACATCCGGCAATTACATCGATTATGCCGGTCGATGGGTCGACCCGTCTCTTGCTTTTGGAGCTGGTTTTGCCGAGTGGTTTGGTTTGTTGTCTCTTTACCATTTGTGTATACACTCGGCTGACTTGTTCCAGGTTGGATTGCTGTTTTCGCCGCTGAAGCCGAATTCTTTGTTGTACTTGTCGACTACTGGGCAGAAGGCGCCGTCCCACAGGCCGCACTACGTACGTTATTCGACAACCCACCCAAAGCCCGTCGCTAATAGCCCATAGTTTCGATATTCTTGGTCATCTGCCTCGTCGTTTTCGTCTTGCCAAACAAAGCGTTCGCTTGGCTGCAATGCATCGGATCCCTCGTCAAGATCGTTCTCTTCATCATCATTATCGGCCTCTCCTTGGCCCTCATCGGAGGCGCCGGCCCAACCGGTTCTGTCAGTGATGGGAGCTACTGGAGGAACGGCCTGGCATTTCAGAATGGATTCGGAGTAAGGCTTTCGCCACCCAAAAAAGAAGTCGTCGTTCTAATTGTGTTTTTCTAGGGATTTGCAAACTGCGCTCTCCTGGCCATTTGGGCCGTTGGTGACCAAGTCTTCATCGGTATCATGGGCGGCGAAGCCAAGTCCCCTCGCTATTCCATGGCTCATGCTGCTACGCTGGTTCCCATCCGTGTTGGCTTCATGTACATGGTCTGTGTCGTCTTCATTGGCCTGCTTGTTCCCTCCACCGACCCTCGTCTCCTCGGCGCATCGGGTTCTGCGGCTTCTCCATTTGTCATTGCAGCCACCAATGCGGGATTGAAGGTCATTCCTGACATCATCAACGTCTGCATGATCATTGGAATCGTCGCTATTGCTCTGGAATCCATCTACCTCCCCTCCCGCATTCTTCGCACTATGGCCTTGCAGGGACTCATTCCGTCAAAGCTCGCCAAGTGCGACGAGCTTGGTAGACCTCGATGGGCTCTCGGCATCAGCTCTGTTGTCGGTACCATCATGACTTACATGAGCCTTAGCGGTACGTTTCACAAATCGCGACATTGGAGTCGCAGCAAACAAAACACCATTTACTGACATTTTGCGCACAGGTGGTGGCACCACGGCCTTGAACTGGTTCATCTCCATCACGAGCGCCTCGTTCTTTTCCAACTGGGCTATCATCTCTTTTACCAACTTCCGCTTCCACCAAGCCCTGCGCGCACAGGGCGATAAGATCTTTGATCAGATCTACGGCTGGCGGTCTATGGCATGGCCCTTTATGCCTGCCTACCTGATGGTGGTGTCTGCAATGCTCCTAGTCTGTCTGCTGTACGCTGCGATCAGCCCCTTGGTATGTTTCTCCACCCTCAGATCGCCATTTACACTCGAAAATGCAAATTATGTAAACTTACACGTGGCATAGGGTGGCGGCGGTTTCACTGCGATCAACTTCTTCCAGTACACCATTGGCTTGCTAGTCATCCTGGGCTTCACAGCTGCATACAAACTAATTAGGCGCACAAAGTGGCAGGATCCTGCCACGGCGGATTTGACGACTGGCCGACATGTTCTCAGTGTCGACGAGATTCAGTTTCTCGATGCATATTACCGCCGACCGTTGTGGCGTCGCATCGGAACATATGTTTCCCTCATTTAAGCCGCGATGTGCGGCCGTTCATTTCGTTCTTCGACCTTAGTAACGTATCCAGTCATGATTGCCCGCACATAGTCCTAGCTAGTATCCGTTACCGCCACTCTAGAGACAACAGGGCGTCATTCTAGTTTAATTACAAGAGATTATCCTATTGTGCGAGTGTTTACTACGTAGTAGCTGTGCAAGTGCAACTAATCTGTCCGTCCAGGGTAGGCCCTCTTTTCTGGGGGGGATCTTGATTGTAGTGGCGATTGAGTGTGTACGAAGTTTGTTTTTCTCATGTTGTTGCCTTTCCCGAGAGTCCGGCTTTCTGATCTAATGAGGGTGAACTGATAAGGAAAACTAGGTCGTTAACACAATTTGATACGAGTAAAGAATACTCAGTGTTGACGAAAAGGCACGGCAAGGACACAGAGGAGACCAGCCTAACGACGGACATGCACAACATGTGCAAGGAGACATAACAGATGCATAAAGACTCGGGCACATGTCCGTGAACGGGGCTTAACCCGGATATGGAGTCCTTTCGCAATTTCGGTTCTCGTATTCTCCATTAATCCACATTCTTTGGGTCGTATCCAATTTGCGGCTGAGGACCAGACCCGCGGCTGCCTGGCTCTAGCAGGGTCTCTGCTCCGAGAGAAGAAATGAGCTCCACCTTGTTGGACACTTTGTCCCTCACGTGCTCGGGTCTCTCAACGGGTATATAATGCGGCCTCTCCCTCTTTCTTTTACTCTTTTTCTTCTTTCTTCTTCATACTTACCTTGTTCCGAACTCCCCAGCTCATCAATTGGGGGGTTCAGCTTGGAAGGCCTGCATTGCACATCGCGGAGTCGTTCCAAGCTTCATTGTCCTTCGGGGCCATGGGGGGCGGAATTTTTGATTTACCACCTGTTTTCATTATGGTTCCGGCTTTATGCTGGGTTATGAAGAAGATTGTGATTGTCATTAGCGGGTTGAGTGAAGTGTGGTAAATCATTCCTGTCAACTTAAACCTCCCAATTCCCATGGTTTGCATTCCGTGCAATTAATCCATCGATGAGTGTCTACTGTCCTAGTCGTCTCCCCTTGGGATGATGGGAGATCTGGGGAGCCTCGAATGGCTGCCTGCAGAGCTAAAACTTGCAACACTACCTGATCTTCTGTGGGCCGCTGCGGCCTGCGGAGTCTGATATGTACCCGACAAGTTTTTCCTCCAGACATCTTCGACTCTTGGAGACTCTGGGGGGTCCAAGATCATACCGTGGCTTTCTCCTGTGGGAAAACTGTATTGCCAATCCCCCGTAGTGTGCGCTCCGTTCATGTCGACTCGTTGAAGAGGGGTGAGATATAATGGGGCGAAAATCTCAAAATTGTGGGGCAAAGGCAAGTCCTCATACTTGGTAGCATATTCGGCTAGCCCAAGCCCCTGAGGAATATCTTCCTTGAGAGCTACCCACCGCGCCCATGTATCTGATCTCCCGAGTCTGGCCAGGGCCGATTTGATATCGACACCTTGGGCTCGGGCAAGTCGGAAGTGGTTGAACAACTGGAAAGTAGCGTATGAGAGGAGGGCAGGATAGCTCTGCAACATTTGGGATTGGCCTGTAACTGACTGGCGGGCTGACGAATTGCGACTGCGTAGCTCCTGTAAGCCCTGGTCGTACATATTTTGGGTTGTAGTTGTCCAGTGTTCAATGTCGATTGTGACCGACAACGGGAACATCTCTCTGAGTGATTCAAAAGTGAATATCGCGTCTGTACCGTCTCGGTGCTCTGCTGTATGAAGTGGTATGATTGTGCCATAGTTCTGGAGTTCTGCATCGGGCGGCCAGGGGAATCCACCAAAGTTCCGAGCTTGCGCTTCGCCGTGACGCACTGGACTACCTAACTCGCGGCTGGAAGGCCCAGATCTATTTCCACTCGACGTAAAAATAGGTGCCAAAGTACCGTTTTGGTTTTGATCAAGAATTCTCGCCTGGACTAGAGCATCTAGTTCGACAATGTTGATGTAGTCCAAGCAGGTATTGATGATTGAGAGATGCCCAATACCCACGGCACTTGGTCCAATATCTGGATCCAATATGGAAAATCCACCACCCTGCAAAAAGAATTGTCGCACAGATTCGTGTATAACCTCAATTACTCTGGTCTCTCCGTTTTCAAGGTCGAGGGACCCCGCTCCTGCATTTACGGATATCGTCTCGATAACCTTGTCCTGCGGCTTTTCTAAGACTGATGCCGCACTTACTTGCAGTAGCCCTCTTGATAAACTTTTGATCTGTCTCTCGAGTTGGTCGTCGCTATCAGTGTACTCGTCTGACTTGCGCCACTCATCCAAAGACGAGGGAAACGGTTGCTTGATGAAGGCCAAGATGTGGTGCCACTCATGAAGCCGAAATGGTTTGGCAGCTAGCGTGGCCCACTGTAATAGTCGCAGTGTCAGAAGTTTCGCCTCCGGCTTGAGGTCCTTCAACATCATCGTGAACATTTCTCCAAGGCTTTGTGGTACCTCATCAAGCTGCCTGAGCAGGACGAGACGTCCCTTACCTTCTTCCCATCTCATTATCGTGGCATCTACCACTAAAATGACCCACAGAAAAACACCGGCGGATTTTGACAAGATCCTAAGTCTTAATGTCATTCCCCAATCTCGGTTCGAGGCTGCAATGCTGTATTTGAACCTCTCCCTCACGTATCTCTCAAGGTCAAACCTATTGTGTTCTTCCACGGTGACGGTGGGACAGTCCAGAAAAAAGGCAGGAAAGTGTCTGCTTGAGAAGCAGACTCTCAGATCAACCCCAGCAACAAAAGCAGATTTGGTCAGGTCCTTCCAGAAGAAAATCTGGCTTCGTAGGGTACTGGAATCACACTCATCGAGAGCATCGATGAAAATCACCGTCGACTTAACTGGCCGATGAGAATAGATCATCCGGAAGAAAGATTTCAGCTCAGCTTCTTCCCAAGGGACATCCATGTTTGCAAGTTTAGTCGATCCCCATTTTTGTTTCCACATCCTGCAAATCTCTGGGAGATGGTGCCGATGGTGCGGAAGAAGCTGGTGGAGCAATGATCGAAGGAGGCCAACAACCGTTTGCTCCAGCTCTTCGCCTTGCGCACTGAAAAAGTAGGCTGCAGTGCAGTAGCCCGAACGCTCTTCTGCCAATAAGGTCCGACGAAAAGCTTCTTTAATCAAGACTGACTTTCCAGCCCCTGGCTTCCCTTTTATCCAGAGAATGCGGTTACGTTCATCGGGCTTGGAATTTGTCGACCACCTCCGGTATATTTGACGCTTAAATAGCCACCGGCATGTATTTTCCATAGGGCTCTCGAGGCTTTGATAACGACTGTTCATCCTCGGAAACCACAGAGACCCAAGACAAGATTTCTCCATGTCATTGAGTCCATCTCCAGGTGGACTCGACGGCGATCCGCCAGGTAGTAAACTTCCATTCTGATGAATGTTCCGAGTATTCAAATCGATGATTGAGAGATAGATCGCACGAATCTCGCCTGCCACTTTCAGATAATTTGGATCGTCAGCTCCGGTATACCGACACATATCGAGATGGTTAGCCTGGAGAGTCTCTGCATGCTCACGTTGATCTCCTATCAACGAGGAAGAGTCAGGGACGACTTTGTTTCCAAGTACACCGAGGTTAACCCCCATAAGACTAAGGCCTTCTTGGAATGTCTTGACCCGAAAGTCATATTGCTGCCAAAGTCCCGAGAAGGATTCCTGGGCCCGTTCTAGATCTGTTGTTTTAAGGCCAAGAGTATCGAGGATGGCCGATGTCGTTTCCATACGTAGAATACTGAGGAAAGACCGAGCCCATTCACCCAGCGCTGAAAGATCGGGACTTCCTCGGTGAGGTGTGCCTAGAAAGATGATGGCGGCAGTAGATTCGACGATGTTTTTGAAATTGGATTCCGTGGATATTGACGACCTGGCGAGCATCTAAAACATTTATCAGTCGACGTATGACAAAATTAGGTGTACATGAGTTTACTTCTTTGACAACAATCCCACCAAGACTATGAGCAACGAATAGCAAGGGACGGTCGGATACTCTGTCTCTGCTAAGCGCAAACATGAAATCTTTGCTGTGGGAGAAAATGCTGCTTTTATTGGTCCCACCAGCCATATATTTTGTGATTTTCGTGTCATATCCGTATGTAAGAATGCGAGCCTTTGGGCACTCTTGGGGGAGAAGGTCAAAAGGCCAGAACACTGGAGGGCCTGTGCTATCACTTCGCTTCACTCGCTTGGCAACTTGCATTTGTGCATCGTCTTCTGGCGCTCTTTTCCCTGATGGCTTCCATGCTAGCGGACCGTGCCATAATTTCTTTTCTCGCTCCTTGCCGGTGTCCGAGCACTCTGACTGGGGGAGAGTAGGCGTGGCTAGAGATGGGTGGCGAGGTTCGTTCCTTGCGGTCCATGTCTTGAACGGATGCCCTTTCAGGCCATGGATGATGACAATGCTGGGAATTGTCAGTGCGATGCGCCAGACTGGATTTCATTTTAGGGTCTCACTCTACTACTGCGGGGCCAGTGACAGGCTCATAGATGACAGAAAGGCCGGTATCGTGGATATGTCCCAGCATTTCTAGTGAGTACCGACGATGCTGTATTAGTAATGCCGAGGAGGAATGTGCTGAGTTTACGATGAGGGAAAGGTGATGCGATTGAGGAAGCTGACGAGGGCAACTTGGCGAGCCTAAGGTACAGATGGTTCGCCTGTAGATGGTCTGCCCTGGCACGTGCCTGATGCATTCAGCCCCTCGAGTCCCTGACGGCTGATTGCTCCATTGTGGCTGTGGTTTTTAATTGCCTTGCTGCGCATTTACAGTCTCAAATTGTGTGTAGTCGTGGTGCCAACTCATTGGCTACGCAACCGCTGGCCCAGCAATGGCGCCAATCACAGCACCAGCTACAGCAAGACGGTCCATGGGGCTGAAACTGCCTCGTTGCCTCGGTGCGACTCACTGGCTTGAGTGGTTGGCTAGATGCTCTTTCGTGTCGCCGCGCTATTTCTCATCAGGCTGCCTCCGATTGTTGGGCTTATCTAAGGCTCATGGCGTCTCAGATAATGAGAACCAAGAAGGTCCTGTTTCTCAAGCTATCCGACATAGGCGAAACACTGTCGCTACTTCTTCAGTCTTTTCTGAAGGTAACGGTGAATAAAAACCCTCTAGATGTGCGTCACTAGGAAAGAATTATCACCAAAGTTTACTTCATCGAGATGACTCGGTTAATGGACACCTCACGCAAGCTGCTGGGATCATATTACCGCATCCTTCGCCATTTCGCTTAAAATACATGCCTTATTTAGCATTAATGTCAACAAGAATCTTTACGTGGTTGTCCTTATCCGTAATAAGCGCTTTAATACCGTCCTCGACGATGTTTTCGAGTCGAATCTTGGCTGTAATCATGTCATTTGCCTTGATAGCGCCTTGAATGATGTCAGTGACACGCTACTCGTAATCGAAGTTGATTCTCTCACCTGTTCGGAGATTCTCAATGACGGCCTGGTAATCTTCTCTCTGGTAGCCAAGAACTGACTTGTAGGTGCTCTCCTTGAATGTTATCCAGTTGGGGTTGAAGGGGATCTCCTTCTCCCAGATAGCCACGTTGACTACCGTGCCCTTGGTCTTGACGGCCTCGCAAGCGCTTTTGATGCTAAATGATATTAGATGAGTTCTGACTTGGATAAGAAAAACACGTACCTAGCGGGAACCCCGGCACAGTCAAAAACAACGTCGGCTCCTCTGCCTTTGCTCGCGTCCAGCATGACCTGCTTGACGTCTTGCTTGATAGGGTTGATGATCGTTGATGCACCAAACTGGGCTGCAAAATTTTGCCGAGAAGCTGCGACTTCCGACACGGTGATGTTCGTAACGCCTTTGGCCTTGAGGCATAAGATGGTGGCCAATCCGATCGGACCACCTCCGATCACCAAGACCACCGAGTCGGGTTTAATTTCTGGAGCCGCAGTCACGGCATGCCAAGCAACAGAAAGCGGCTCGACGAGAGCTCCCATTTCCATTGTCAGATTGTCAGGGAGCGGGAAGACGTGCGTCGCATTTACGCACACGGCCTCGCTCAGGCCGCCGCCTCCCCCGCTCAACCCGACGAATCCGCCCGTGTGGCAGACATTCTCAGCGCTGGAGTCGCAGGCGACGCAATGACCGCAGAAGAGGGTGGGCTGGACGGCGCATCTTTGGCCGATTTCGAATCCTGTGACATCAGGGCCGATTTCCGTGATGGTTCCTGAGAATTCGTGGCCGAGCGTGACGGGGATCGTCTCGCCGGTAAGTCCGTGTGGTGTTGTGGGGCAGAAGTTTGGACCGCCGAGATACTCGTGGAGATCAGTGCCGCAAATGCCAACAAAAGCCGGGGCAATCTAGGACGTCAGTGAGTAATCCTTCTGTGGGTATTTGTGGATTTACAGCCTCACCTTAATCTGGCCTGGACGAATGGTAGGCTCGGGGATCAGTTCGACGCGGATATCTTCCTTGCCGTAGTACCTGGCAGCGCGCATGGTGCTGTAAAACGAAGCCCGCGCGAAGGCAGGGGTCACGAAGCGGGGAATCTTTGTAAGAAGCTGCGAGAACGATGCAGTAAGGACTCTCTGCATGAAGATGTCAATATTTCTTGTCTGGAAGATGGACTTGAGGCTCAGACTGCCGTCATATTGACGCCTTTTATAATCCTAATGCCAGGCTCTCAGCGGGGTTGTGCATCATCCGACTCGCTACGTCAGAAGACCGACCCGCTAGAGCGCCGGAGAACCACGAGTGGCATCACAAACGAGTACCCACTCTAGCCGATACCGTGATAAATCTGGGTAATCTTACGAGGTAACTCATTACATCAATTTGAGAGTGGTGTTACTTTCCTATCGTTCAAGCATCCGTCTCCCCGAAAAGCCTCATGTCCATACGCCTGGCGAGAAGTCTATAAGGGATTTCCCGGTGATCTGCCGGATCTGGTGATCCGCCGGATCACCGCCACTTCGCACACTCAACATCAATCGACAATTACTCAACAACCATGGCGCCGATTGATGAGGCCCTTGATTTCCTGAAATCGTCGGAATCAGTTAATTATGCTGAGACTGCACGGCGTTTCAATTGCGACGAGACGACCTTGCGACGCCGACATCAAGGCAAACAGCGGTCAAGACGAGATGCCGACAGTTTGTATAAGTCACGTCTGTCAAAACAACAAGAACGGGATCTTATCGCTTATATTCATAAGCTTTCATCGCGTGGCATTCCCCCTACCTTACCTATGATAAAGAACTTCGCCCAGGATATCGCCAAAATCGAGGTCGGAAAGGACTGGCCGTACAGCTTCGTTCGACGCAATCGTGATGAGTTAGGTTGTACATGGTTCGACGGGTTGGACATCGCGCGAAAGAGAGCCGATAATGCCTCTAGGTATAGGGCTTATTTTGAGCTTGTAAGCCAATGCACGAAGCTTCCCTTTCACAACTGACAGTGGAAGATCCGCACAAAAATCGAGAAATACAACATCCTACCCTGCAACACGTATAACGCGGATGAGAAAGGATTTCTCTTGGGTGTGATCAATCGAACGAAGAGAGTATTTTCCATTAACGTCAAAAAGCAAGGCAAATTGCTCGGTGCGTCGCAAGATGGTAATCGATCTTGGATTACGTTCCTGGCGTGCATCAGCCAGGACATGACATCGCTGCCCCCATTCCTCATCTATCAAGGCAAACCAGGACAAGTCCAGGACTCTTGGCTCAATGAATTTGACCCAGAACATCAATCAGCCTTCTTTACCACCTCAGAAACGGGGTGGACAAATCACGAGCTTGGAAAAGAGTGGCTCGTCGGTGTTTTCGATCGCTTTACTAAGGCAAAAGCTCGAAACGGTCGTGATTATCGCCTTCTCATTACCGACGGCCACTCTAGCCATGTTAATATGGACTTTCTGGAGTGGTGTGACCAGCACCGGATTATCGTTGCGGTGTTTCCCCCCCATTCCACGCATCGGCTGCAACCCTTGGACGTGTCGCTATTCAGCCCCCTTTCGACCGCATACTCAAATCAGCTTATCCAGTGGACAGCAAAAACACAAGGCCTTATTGGCCTATCGAAACGTGAGTTCTGGACTTTATTTTGGAACGCATTTGAGACTTCCTTCTCTTCCGAGAACATTGCGAGTGGGTGGAAACGGACTGGTCTCCTGCCTTTTGACCCAGAAGTGGTCCTATCGCAGATCACTGAGAAAAAAGATGATGATTCGAATACGGGTAGCGACTCGGCAGAATCACTAGCCCTTCAGCAACCTACGGCCCGAGATTTACGCCGACTTATTGACAAAGTAGTCGACAAATCCTCTATCGATGCTGACCGCAACAGCCGAAAGCTGAAGAACACCCTCGAAAGCCTGCAATCTGAGGTTGAACTGCTTCGATATGAGAATCAAGGACTCCGCGAGACAATTAGCCAAGAAAAGAAGCGCAGACAGCGCGGTAAAGCTCTGAAAGATCTGCTCTTTGATCGTACAGATCCAAATTCAGCTCAGGTGTTTAGCCCAGCAAAAGTCGCTCAAGCCCGCCTAAAGAAAGCGGCGATGGACGCCCAAAAGAAAGAGGAGGTTCTGCAGAAGGAATCGCAAAAGGCTCAGCGACAGCAGAAGGCGGCGGAGCAAAAAGCTCTCGCTCTGGAGAAGAGGAGGCAACGAGAGGCGGAAATAGAGAGAAAACGGCAGGTAAGGGAGGCCAGGCAGCAAGAGAAGGAGACCAATCGACAGATTCGACAAGAACTTAAGCGTCGCAATCTGGAAATGGCACATGAAATGCAACATGAACGACGGGTGGCTTCTGAAGGCCGCGAGAAGAGTCCGGACGTTCGAGACGAGATAATCGTCGCTCTTCCACTCATACCAGAGCCGCCGGTAGCATCACAGGCCCTAGATCTACCAAAAGACAACCGAAAAGGGAAGGCAGCGACCACTCCAATCCGTACCGCTCGTCCGAAAAGACCCTGTCTAGCTGTTGAGAGTGATCGGGAGATGGTAGTCGCATTTCGGGGTACCGGGCGGCCGCAGCGGAATAGCAAGCGACCACGATGGCTTGATGACTGCGAAATAGACTGAGACATATCTTATAGTTGCATTTTCATTATGTGTTTAATTTTGGAAGATTTGGGACTGCGGCTGTGGAGCTATTATAGATTGATGTCTGGAATGCAAGTAGGTGTAAGTCCGGCGAATCACCAGATCCGGCAGATCACCGGGAAATCCCTTAATTTCCTCATTGTGACCCAGGTAAGCTCACTCGTGTTTGAAGGCCTCACAAACGACTTTCATAACGGTTCTGGTCTTCCGTCTGCCTCGGCAGTGCGGATGTTTCTTGACCCCTCAATCCCCCAACCCCTCAAACGGCGGCACGGCAAATATGGCGATCACACAGCACAACATCAGTAGTACAGCCGGCATCCTGCTTCGCCAATGATGAACAAGCAAGTTATGCAGTCCTCCAATTAAGTCTCAGCCACAGCGCCAGCATCGAGTGTCACGACAAATGCTGCCGAATAGCTCGAATAAGCTCTCATGACACCTTCCTCATTTACCCCTCTCTCAAACTATATGGTTGCATCTTGCAAAGTCCCTGCCGGCATTTGAACATCTTTCCATTCGTCCGTAATTCTCGTGGCTTTTTAAATGATCTGTCTAGTGCTCACCCTAGTTGTTGTGAGAAACACGCAGAAATATGAGCCCACACTATGGAAGCAACCGGTTTACAAGCTGGCTAGAAGACGGATCAATTGGCCAATGGCAAATCGTTAGGCGCTGAGTTGTAAATTTACTTTGCTCTGATTCGGTTAACATGCTGGTCTCAGACGGTTGGGAAAATGGGCGCCAATAGTCACCACTCATAACCATACTGCAAGACAACCCCGCCCTCATCCAAGAGTCGAAACACCCCCCTAACCTTAGAATGCTATGATGGGGCGCAGTAAGACACCCTCTCCGACGGTTCCGACCACCAGCGGGCCCGACCGTCAGCTGATCCGACCAGCCTGCGGACCCGACCGCCTGCGGACCCGATCATCTACGGCCCCACTTCCGGAGTCCGCTGCAGCAGCCTCCAGCAGCCTCTATCATCTTCATAAAAAAAGCCAACCCCAAGACCTTGGTTTAAGTAGGAATTGGGAAGTATAATTTGAGTTCCAGGGATATAAACCCGTAGATGCAGTCCAACTACCCGCTCTAGGCTCTGCAGCCCGGTTCCACACCAGGTACCGGAGGAGTTGATGAGCTCCCCTGTACTCGACATGCATGGAATAGGAATGCAAGTTGCTATTCGCACACACATATTTGTACCTGAGCCTTGGCTGAATCGTCGTATCTAGAACAAGCGCGCACATATACTCTGACGCTCGTCTATGTGTTCTCACTTACTTGCAATAAATACATGGAAGTAGAATATAATGCGAGACAAACCCCATTGAGTTTTAATTCGTTTACATGCTGCATAGAGTGTGTCCGTGATGGTTATCTTCACGATTGGGGCATATACATGTTTGTACGAATAGCAAGATGGACCTATGTGAATAGCAATACTGATAATAATACTCTCAGAGACCGTATCTGACTAACTTAAACTATTATCGTGTGAAGTATACAAAGAGGCCACGGACATTGTAACGGCCCCTCATTGCGTCAGTGAGCGACATGCGTTGACGCAATGTACTTGTCGCGACAAGACCTTGACCAACGCCTCCAGAATAACACATGTTCTCGAACCCTACAATTTAGTAATTCATGCTCTCTAGAACCTCTGAATCACTCTCCTTCCACGGAAACTGCTGTTCAATGGATCGGATTAACTTCTCGTGGTGAGGGGATCGTGGCTGGATCTGAGCCTTGAAGGGCTCCGGGTGGCTGACAACGCCTGGCGTGAATCGGATCTGAGATTCAACCTCTTCCCCATTGTCCAAGCCTTTGCTGATGCTGAAGACCGCCAGAGATTGTGCAATGGTAAGGTACAAGGCGTTGTCGGCCAGAATGCGCCCGGGGCAAATGCGGCGTCCGAAGCCAAACACAAACTTGTGCGGATCCGGTGCCGGCTCGTGGCCATCGGTTTCCAAGAATCTACCAGGATTGAAGGACATGGGTTCGTCATAGACTTCTGGGTCATGCGTGAAGTGCCTATAGTAGGGTCCAACGTTAGAGGGCCTTCTTTCCGGGCGATAAGATGGGGTGTTTCCCGAAGTACGCACCAGACGTTTGGAAACACCATGGAATCCTTGGGAATAAAATACCCCTCGCAGATGTCATCCGCGGTGCTTGTGTGGGGAAGTCCCATTGGCGCCACAGGGTGCCAGCGGAGAACCTCCTTCACCGTGGCATCGATGTAGGGCAAATTTGGACGATCCGACGAGTTGGGCAGGCGATCGCGACCGATGACTCGATCAATCTCTTCCTGTGCCTTCCTCTGGACGTCCGGAAAGACCGTCATGGCTAGGAAAAAGCATGCAAGCGCCGATACGGTCTAATATAATTAGAACATTCCTCTACATGAAGCGGAGTGGAGAGAAAGAGGGGCTCACGGTATCAGCTCCTGCGGTGTACAAGGACATTGCCGACCATTTATTGGTGAATTTCTCCTGTGGGGTATCGTCGCCCGACTCCAGCAGTCGCGAGAGAAACGACGAGTCGTCTTTGCCCTGGGCCATCTGGTGCTTCACAAACGCATACGGCTTCTCTATCACGTCAATGAGCTCGGCTCCCCACTGTCGAGCAGTTTTCTGGAACCCAGCACCGGGGATCCATTCGGGGAGATATCTCACTAATACTGGTCAGCCTGTGGACAAGAACGCAACGTCGCGCTTGTCCTTAGTAGGTACTCACAAAATGGCATCATATCGACCATGAAGGCCCCAGGAACACCAGCGCGCGCAAATTTGTCCATGGCATCACCAGCTATGTCAACAAGAACATCATTCTTGAAAGGCTCCGCCGTGTAACCGTAGACAATCTTCAATATGACTGCGCCGACCTCCCTGGAAAAGCGTGCGAGTTAGTGATGGCGCCAGATAAAATCGCCATGCTAGTGAGACGACCAAACTGACTTTCTGATTTCATTTACAAAGTTTTCCGGCTTCTCCAGAACGTGGAGTAGAAAGTGACCAGCTTCAGCTTCTTGCAAATTATCGTACTGCGCCGCCGCCGTTTTGGAGCCGATAATGCGGCTCATGTTCTTGCGGTAGGTTCGGAAACGATCATTATACTGAGAAAGTCCAAGGGAATTCTCCCAGCCCAGCCTGTGGTATTTGTCAGCCCATTTACGGTCATGTCGCCGCCATCATGGGGTTGGAGGTCAGCAAAGCAACTGTGAACTGCAAACGTACATTTCACCGGCGAATATCTGCCTCGGTCTAGAGGAATGCTTCACCGACCGCTTTTCCAATAGCTCAAATGCGAGATCCGCATCGTTAACAATGACCAAGGTTTGCCCCATCACCGTTACCGAGCTGATTGGGCCTGTTGGCGCCAAGCAGTGTCCTGCATTAGCAAAAAGGAACCTGTAAGAAATGGAGTTCATCTACACGAACCATAAAGCTCCTTGTGCTTCAGCCAGTGATGTGCTTCAAGCACACCCGGTTTGGGCAAGTCGCTCAAATTTCCCACCAGTGGGAGTCCCTTGGGACCTGGTGGGAGAGGATGACTGTTGGCATTCTTGGATTTGCTCAGGATGGTATTAACGATGAAGAGCGCAGCAAGGCCAATGCCCAGACTGACGATAGGTGACGACAGACTCATCTTCACCACGATTAATGACAGGTTGCAGAAGGATCTCAAGAGCGTGCAGAACAAGGTCCAGGCCAGACCACTCGATATTAAGAATTACGAATTACGACCACCCAAGTTTCCCATCTGGTTAGTCCCCGGACACCCCCCGGGACCGTTGCTAGATTCCAGCCCCCGCAACCCCCTCATCTCCCTTCCCCTGTTGGGAATGGCGAATGAATGCCGATGAATTATCAAACACTTAGCATGACAATTGCTCACATGTCTGCGTGCCAGAACCAAGTGCAAACCCAGTCAATTAACATTCAACAGTCAGTGCACATGAGTTTCATTCTCGCATGTCCACCGGGGCAGCGTATCCGCGATTCTGTCAATCACTTGTAGCAGCAGCTTAAATGCAAACTTGGGCTGAACATTGAGACACGTTTGCGGAGGTAACGCGGGGGGCGATAGCCAATCCCTCCTTGTACATAGCAGCACATGCAAACTTCAGCTGAGGGCGATACCGGAACTCAGGGGCACGCGTTACCCGAGAAAAGGCAGGGTTGTGATTCCTAAAGGTTGCGTGCTACGCTATCTGACCAGAAACCGGCGAATCCTTTGCCTCAGATTCCTGCGGAGGTTCCGAGTTTTGCGAGTCGTCACAATTCACAGAAACAGCGTTGCTATATAAATGCTTTTGCGAGCAATGATGCGGCACAGGTGGATCGGCCCCTGGGCCCCCTGGTTCCGCGTCTCCATTAACGAACGCGGCACGAATAAGATCTCGAGGACTCGTCGGGGTCCGCATTTGCTGACGACCCATTAATCCCGCACTCCAAAAGGGAATTCTCCTCGCACAATGGTATTCCCCAAGTTGTTTCCTCCGCTCGGGGGCGTTTGTGATCCTGATACCCTGGGAAGGCACAGCTGAACCATGGAAATCCCGAGATCCTCATGTTTTGGGTTCACCTCAAATGATTTTCATGAGAATATTACAGCCTGTAGGATCTTGTCACATCTAGACGTCCAGCTTTTGACATGATCAAGAACCCAGTTGCAATATCCATACGATGGCGACGATCTTCAGATGCTGCCGAACCCTCGCTAGGAATATTCTTCCCAATTCGGTATCCGGCAGTGGTGTCGGCCGATTTCCATTACGCCGTTATTTAGTAGCAGTTTTTTTTGCTTTTGAGGTTTAAAACATCTCATGTCTTGGTATGATACAGAACTGTTGGTGGAGTAGGTCTAGATGCTCTTGAGAGAAGAGTAAACGAGGGTGGAGTCGAAGTAGACGAAACCGCCGACAGAAGTCCAGCCACTAACCTGCCCGGCCTCTAGAGAAATCTTCATCATCCACTGTGGCGTCGACTTGCATATGATGCCTCTATTTAGGTGGATCAACTTCTGTAACATGCCGGCGAAAGGGGGGCTCATTTATGCAGCCGCGAGGAATCATGCAGGTCGAGACATTCTCGACGCAGCACCTTCCTTTCCTCGCCATCCCCACGCTTGATGAGCCCTTCAAAGTTGTCATAAATGACCAGTTGGTTCTGAGAACATGCACCTGGAATTACCACTAAGCTTCAAAGACTTATGCGTGGCCCCTTGGGGGTCATGGTCCGAGTCCCGCGTAACATTTGAGTTTCTCGGAGCCCAATCTGCACAATTCCTTCATGGTTGATCCCTACGTTGCCGCGATGACGACCCGCTGTGTTGATCCCCGCCGCCTTCCTTACGGCCATGCAGGGCCAGTAAGTGGCTATCAAACGACCTGTCATCTGTAGCCCCATCACCAGCACTCCCGCGGTAGCCTAGATCCCGCGTCGGATCTGATTCCGGCTCGCATAAGTTATATCCCAAAGTTTCGCCCGTCCCTCGCATCAGATTGTCCTTGGATGAGTCTGCTGTCGACACTTTGCCATTGTCCCCCTGATTCGTTCAAGTACTCTTACCAGACGCTCCGTCTGCCAAGCCGTATCATGAAGTTCTACTCCACGTTTTGCGCTTTTGCGCTCTTATTGAGGAGCACAATGGCTCAAGCCGATTTGATGTCTTCACTCCCGGACTGCGCTGTGAGTTCGCCTTTGCCAAGCCGTATTTGGTGGTATTTCATTTTGTACAAGGGAACTGACGCCTTTGAACTCTAGGTCCAATGTTTCGAGCAGAGTGTATCGAGTTCGAATTGTTCCTCTACTGACCTCCCATGTCTCTGCGTCGATACAGTTTTCATGGGCGTTGCGCAAGGTTGCCAGGCTCAAAATTGTACCGTGAAGGAGATCCTTAGTATGTCAACCCCTCTAACCATGCACAATGTTGTCCGTGAACCGATCCCCGGAGTGAGGATCTGACTCCTGTCTAGCATCCACAAACGCCACTTTGGCAGCGTGCGGCGTACCACCAGGCAATCAATCAGCTACCGTCATCGGTATCCCAGCAGCTTTTGGTTCATTCGCCATCCTCTTGGTTTTGATTCGCATTTTCGGTCGCCTTTGGGTTACGAAGATTGACTTGGACTGGGATGACTACTTGATAGTGGCCGCCACGGTGAGGAATTCTTCAATCGCTCTGATCTTCACCCATCGCTGACAGGTCGTGATATAGGTATTCGCCAGCGTATTGAACTTTGTATGCTTTCCAAGTATGTTCCGACGCTCTGCTGGTCTACTGGCCTGATAGCTGCATAACCTTTCGCTAACCTCACACTCAGTGGCCTCCCATGGAATGGGTAAGGACTTTTGGACGATATCGTTTCCAAACATCGACATGACTCTCAAGGTTAGTAGCCTTTGCCACAACACAGACGGTTAAACAAGTACGTTGGCTAATGAGACATCTAAGCTTCTCTATATTGCCGAAATATTTTACATGGTCGCCGAAATGTTGGTCCAAATGTCGCTGTTGGCTTTCTATATCCGCGTCTTTCCAGGAGCCTCTGTCTTTGTCAGGAGATCCTCTTGGACCCTAATGGGTATCGTCGGATGCTTTGGAATCGCAAACACCTGTGCAATGATCTTCCAATGCACCCCGATCCCATTTTTCTGGACTGGCTGGGCCGGCGAATCAACTGGAACATGCATCAACATCAATCTCTTCTCGTGGATCCGCGCGGCCATTGAGATTGCCATTGACGTGGCTATCATATCGTTGCCTCTGCCGAGCGTCATCAAGCTTCAAATGAACTGGAAGAAGAAGTTTCAAGTACTTCTGATGTTTCTTATTGGATTTGTGTAAGTCACATTGTTTGTTTCAATGATCTCAGGCCAAGTGCCTTGTGAACTAGGGGGCTCTAGTCTGGATTTTCGGCGCCTAACCAATATTCAGAATCACGATTATCAGTATTTTACGGCTGCAATCTCTGATTCAATTCTCCAAGACATCAAACCCCACATGTTAGTCTTTCATTTTGAGATTCCCATTTTAAGAAATGGACGTTGTAACTTACGTGCTTTTTTAGATGACAACTCGCCAGCCATCTATTGGAGTGTGCTCGAATGTGACATGTTCATCATTTGCGCATGCATGCCAGCCATTCGTTCAATTCTCTCGAAGCTGGCACCTGAGTTCTTTGGTACGAATCCTAAGATGAGTTATCCCTCTACGGATGGATACTACCGCCACCAAGGCTCCAAGGAGGACTCCAAACGCCAACCTTCACATCAAATGAGTACTCTCAGTAACTCGGGTAAGATTGTGAGGAGCGTTAACGTGGATGTGAGTCGCGAACAAATGACGGCATCTGACGAAGAACTTGTGTACCCACCAAGACATTACTACCTGTCTGACAATTGAATCAATTTGTTCAAATGTCGGCATTGTTTGTAATCAGGGTCAAGTAGTATCTTAGCCCAACAGATACAACGAGGACTGGTTTGCTATATATCGTGGCCGGAAGTTTGCATTTATAGGTCTCCCGGGTAAATATGAGGCTTTAGGTTTATGTATATTGTTGGTGATAAACGGAAATAAATTATCTACAGGTCAGGTAAGGAAATGCATCTTTGGAAGCAATTTATCTATGGACGGCATAGAGGCGGAAGTTCACAGCTAAATGATTTAGCATATTATTGTTGTCCCAAGTAAGAAGACGAACAATTAGATATATGACAGCAACAGTAAATATCACGAGGAAATATGTTCACTCACCACTCTTCTCTTCGTTGTTGGTCGCGGCCTACAAGTGGCACGCAACTCATCGCTGCCTCTCTAGATTTAATACACGTGGGTTGAAAATTGTCAAAATTCTCAACACGCACCTCCTGTCTACTCTAAAGGTGAAGAGATACTCGTTGATAAACCTGTTACCAAGCCTGTGAATCTGCTCGGCTATGTCACCGGCCCCAAACTTAATGGCCAGCTCCTTGGGCCCTTCAGCTAGGTTCGTTTGGGCTGCGGCAACCATAAAAAGGTACTGGGTATATCAGCAATTGGGTTGAAAATATGAACAGAGTAATTGATGTTGTCATTACCTGGGAGGGTCGGTAATTTTTATCATGAAGGCAGCTCCAGCGGCTTTCCCTACTTTGGCCATACTGGAAGTTATCACCTATACTCACACTGAACTCATCTGGCTACGACTAAGTCGTGTACTGGGTATTTCGTCACCATGGCAGATGCCAGGCCTTACATTGGCTGGTGACGGTCAGGGAGGAACACTGTATGCTCATAAGTCATGTCTCTGTCTCCCTCTTCTTCTGTTGTATGGCATCGTCTTCGGCAAGGTATTCTTGACTGAATCTATACTTCCCGCCCACCTGGATCCAGCAGCTATACTCTTTCCAGGTATTCACGAGCATGAACCGGCGTACCCAGGATCGCGACCAAGGTTAGGGCTAGCGCTAGACTGGCTAGACCAGGGAATTAGGAAGATGAGGCAAAAAAGAAAAAAACATACAACAGCGAGGATTCCCCGGTCGTCACCGACCCGAGTACTAATTCGCCGCTTCTCAGCTTGACTAAGGGAGAGCGGACGGGATCCCGTATTTTCTAAGAGCTATGGTCGTATGTACTGAGAAGGGTGACACTAGGGTATATAAAGATTGGTTCTGCGGCGAGAAGAGAGACCGCCACAACTGTTCGTCACCCATGTCAACATTCCCGGCTTATCGATTAGTCCACTATCCACCTGGATGCAACGCACCCTGCTTTACTGTTAGATCCATCGAATCGAGCTCGTCATGGACTATACCTTCTTGAGAGGCTTCGAGAAACTTCACCCGATAAATACTCTTTGCTCTGGATGCAAGAAAATATTATTGAACTCTTCTTAGCACTACAGGACATGAGCCGTTTCATTGTTTACGTGGGATCTCTCTAGCAAGAGATACCGTCATTTCTTTAGGTTCCATGCTGCACGCAACCTGGAACTACCAGTAGCGTGTCTATCGACCTGAAGCATATGTATATTAGTATTGAGGAGAACTATTCAAGCATTTTGTTATTACAACATATACCCATCCAGAGAGAGTCCTTTTGAGCCTATGGAAGCGAGCCCTAGTGTCGGATCTATAGCCCCGACAATTCTGGAACCCTTCTTAAACGGTTTATTCCAGCCGACATTCTCGTCTTTGGTGGATCGGCAATTTAGCCTGCGGATATGAACTGTATTGCTGTTGGTTAGAAAATAATTGCGATGGTGGGCTTCGCTTTTAAGCTGTTCAGGAGGTGTAAACGGGCTATTATCGACGGCGATGTCATCCAAAACCAGGACGATTACACGCTGTTCAGGAACAGACTCATAACCAAAAGCCTCACATTTCCAGAGCTACTCAAGAATATTAAGTTGTCACATGTGCGTCTGTAAACTCCCGTAAATGAATGCTATGGCACAGTTCGTGGCACTAGAGTTCACCTGAGTAATGACACTGAGTAGGAGGCGCAGCTTCGAGCTAATTTATTCAGACAAGTGTTTCTGGGAGAATTCTCTCAGAGTAAGAAGTTTTACGTTATCCATATTTCCACCTTGTGCTGTAATGGCCGCCTGCTTCAACCGAAATGCTGCCTCCGTGCTATTTGGTGTTCCGTAGTAGCAACCACCAGAATGCTGACAAAGGCCGAACATCCCTCGAACGGTGACTAAAAACCTGTCGTCATTCGTTTCGATAGATCTCCAGTCCTCGATAGGCACAAAACGGGCCTTCTTTCCCGTTACTACATGAGTAGTTAGCAATCGTAGAACACACCGATTCAACCTGCATTGGCTTGCTGAAATACCTTCTTGCACATCTTTGGCAATGTCACCGAGAGACCGTGGTTGACTGAAGCCTTGAATGAACATGCCGTTATACCTCTCCGGCTGTAAAAATACGCCATGCACGTAGTCGCCAAAGTCGGCGCCGATGGCTGCGAGAGGGACTTGATCATTCCCACCCCAATGCGGCCAGTTGAGGGTCAAGTAACCATCTTCATCTGGGAAGTATGGGAGACCACCGAACAGACTTGCAACGTCTTTATCGAGAAAGTTCTCCATGTACCAGCCTGGGCTGACAACCACGACACTACTGAAAGAGGCTTTGGACCTTGCGTACTCGGCAATGGCGTGTTTCTCTATGCATTTAATTAGGATTCATTTTGATATTCTCAGTATAGGACAAGAACGACAGGGATAAGTAGATGGTAGGAAAGGTTTGGCGTACCGTCAAAGCATTCGACGGGGATTTCGCCTTTAGTAATGAGGGACGCAGAGGCCAAGCCGCTGTATACGAAGTGCTTCACGCCCACTTCAACTGCAGCTTCGACCACATCCTTTCCAATGTCTGTCTCACTTGGTCCATTCTTCTGCCCTACAGCCTATTATCGGGTTAATATTCACCGTCTCGAGATGTGACCGCTCTCTTGACGATACGTACAGGATCATCGGAGTTGGTATTAACGAAAACGCCCCAGCTTCCGGCAAAGGCAGAAAGCAGCTCTTCTTTCTTAAAACCGTCGGCCTTGATCAATTCAGCGCCAGCAGCTGCGAGTGCTCTCGCTCCTTCTGATTCGGGATTTCGCGAAATGGCTCGTACTTTGAAGATGCCAGATTGATCGCGTAATAGGGAACGCACAACGCTCCCGCCTTGAGCGCCTGTGGCCCCGTACACCGTCACTAGTTTTGTGGCTGGCATTCTAAACAGATTTGCACCGGAGGATAATCCGCTAGTACGTGGAAAACAATGTCGTGGTTTTGGAATGTTAACAGTGCTGGAGCTGAAGGAATTTGGCCAGATGATCCGAGATTGAATCAGTGAAGAGTCAGCCCTTTATACGCAACATTTAACTTCACAAAATCCGCTGGTCAGTATCGTGCTTATAAATACATCAATAAATCATTTCGATTTCTAATCCATAAGCTAGGCTTATTGGGTCACACGCAAGGAAGAAGCCGTGTACAAATGAATAGAAGAAGATACCCTTGCGATACGTGGGGTCAGAGCATCAGGCGCTGCTCAAAGTGGCAAGTGGATTGCCCAAGTTGATTAGATAATGCGCTTGGGCAAAATTCTTCACGCGCCGCCTGGGTTGCCCAGTCAAGAGAAGGCAAAGTTTCGTCTTTAAGGGTTTTAATTTTTTTTTTAGTAATCTCAAGATTTTGATACTTGGGTGTGTTTGCGCATTGGAACAGGGGGCACAATGTTTTTGGGATGATTGTGTGGTATGCATTCGAGGACACGGCCTCGAATGTAACACCTCAAATTTTCCCGAACGATGGTGCAAACTTTCAAGAAAGGTCAAACAAGATTGCTATCCGATTTGAGGCTATCTGTAGGGTATTGGACATCAGTGCCACGGCAGTGAAAGCGTCGCCTCCGATTCTCTCCATATTCTTGCACATTCTGCTTGGATTGGTGCTGTGATAATCCGTTACTCGGCCGTTGCTAGTACATACGACCATAGCTCTTAGAAAATACGGGATCCCGTCCGCTCTCCCTTAGTCAAGCTGAGAAGCGGCGAATTAGTACTCGGGTCGGTGACGACCGGGGAATCCTCGCTGTTGTATGTTTTTCTTTTTGCTTTTGATCCTGCTGGTGAGGTCAGACTTTGAAGTGCGAATATTAGAAGGTGGATCGATGAGACACAATCTCAATGGGTTGTCAATTGCGATCTCTGGGCAATTGGCAATAAGTTATCAAAAGTCTAAACTTTTTGCCTCTTGCGCTTAAGACAAGTAGCGCAGAGACTCGGTTATCTTGCTCAAGTAGCGCCTCCATATTTGTCCTCATGTTTCCACTTTTAACCGCAAAAGTGTGCAAGTAGCTAGATTTATTGGTCGCCTCTTGTTTTTATGAGGGCCACTACTTGGGCCGGATGACTGAATTTCTGCGACAGACGGTTGATGGCTTATGCATTGCTCGTAGCCTGAAGGTCAACCCAAGAGACCCAAGACTTCAATACCAGCAGAGTATGTTATCTACCCCTCATGGATGCTGGCTAAAATGGACTTTCTTTCCGTCAGGCTTCCATGTGCCTAAATCTTGCTTCTAGATGATCACTACGTTTCGCTAGTGACTGTTTCATAGTCATAACACGACAAGGAAGTGCCTTATCATCTTCAAGACCGGGTCTTTCTTCCGTCCTGGATACCCGTGTAATGGTGTGGCAATTGTTAGGGGCCTTTGAGTCAGGATGGAGGGGAAAGTATCAAGGTCAAATCGAAGGAAATAGCTTGATATTCTTCTAACATAAAACAATGCTTAGTGGTATCCTGTGCAAACTCGTCTCAAAACGACAACCAAATCTTCCCCAAATGAGTGCTATCTGTTTAGAGCGGGATAATACAGCAGTCGCAGGGGAGTGGACAAGGAATGCAGAAACAGAATCGTCCGGGACAGCATCCACCTCGATCACCACCACGCATATTGACTTCGGTATTGGGATGCGGGCGCTGGGGATCTGCGATAAATGAGCTCGAGCCCGGCAGGGGGTTTTATGAGAATAGACTTACCCATAGCCTGGTGGGCCGCGGGCTGGTTGGCTTGCACCGGCTGGACGGGCTGTTGCTGGTTCTTGGCTTCAACGGCCTGCTCAGAGAGTTCGTGTTGCGACATGGTGGGAGGCTGGGAGCTTGGGAGAATGGTGAGAATATGGCGTGAGTGGAAGGAGATCGGATGCGTGTTCCTGAGAAACTGCCGAGATATTGAGCCAAATGATGATGAGAAATGCCCGCAAAGATAGCCTACCTGAGCGCGTCGAAGTCGTGATATGTATAGGTAAAGGAGAACCGGAAGCTTGGCGACGATGACGAAACCCTGGGAAGTCCGCGTGGTGATGACGTACATCATCTCGAGAGGCGGCGAGTCATGTGGCCTCAACTGGCTGGGTCAGAGTTAATCCGATCCGATCTTCTCCTTTTCGCAGTGGTCTGGGCTTTTTTGCTGCGGCACAAGGCGCATTCGAAGCTGCTCCATGCCGCAATATTGAGTATCCACATCCACCAGAGCCGTGATGGTTTGGGTCAGGATTCATTGTACGATGCGGAGTTTCTTCAGAAAAGTTCTGTCAGTGCATCGGAAAGGAAACCTCTATCTCCCGTGTTCGCCAGCTCTTCTTTAAGTATCCGTTGTAGGAAGCGGGGTCGGTTCTCCCGAACACAACAGGCCAGTGAGACTGCTTGATGGCTTGTTTGTATTCCATGTTTCGCTGCATCCAGACACTTCAAGACATCAAATGCAGCATTGCATCACTATTGTGAGAATACATCACGTATTACGGCAGATCGGGGACGATGAGACTGGTGGATTGGAATTACTGGTGTCGGGGATCTTGGACACAGTAAATTTACGGAGTACTTGTTTTCCGTAGTGGCCCCTGCAATGCCCTGTAATGCCCTGTAAGGCCCCCACCACCTAAAATCTTAATGTGCTTTGAGGCTGGCCGTTAGCTCAGAATGATGCCCGCTTATGCATAACTTTTGGACTGGGGAGACTGGGAAAATCACTGTCGAGGCCGCTGCGAACGCCAAAGAAAGGCGGGTTGTAGTTCTCTGCAGCGGATCGACTCTTATTTCTCTATTCATAAGGCCGAGCTATTTACTATGTATTTACCGGGCATCGTCGGCATCTCCAGCGTTCCCCTGCCTGCGCAGAGTTCGCCTGGGTGGTTGGGGGCGCAGGCATAAGCCGCTGCGCCACGAGCCCAGTTTGTCGAGCTATTCTTGGGCTCTGACAGGGATAATGTCGGCCGCACCGGTCCCTCTCCGAAGCGAGATCTGCGCAGTCATCTCGGGAATGGCTTTCCCGCTCGGGGTATGCTGGCTGTCCAGTGCATCGGCGACCTACGGGTCATCCCCAGCCGGACGCTGTAAGCAGAATGCTGCCCTAGCTCGCCGCGCTCGCTCCATGGCTGCTGACGTCTGACCGTTAGCAGCTTCCGTCCCTTGGCCTTACCATGCACTAATTGTAGAAAGTATGCTCCCTGGTTGGTGATTGTCATCATTGATTGGCTGTGAGACGGTTGTGGAGATGACTGCATCGACATCCGCATCCTATACACAGCCGAGTAACCCACCAGTCGCCGATTTCACTAGAAACGGCGGCCGCGTTGGCTACCGTGCGGCGCTTATTGGAACTCTTGAAGCTTGATATACAAATACAAAGACTCGGTAACTTGTAGAATGAATTGAACACCCCCGCGTACGTCCCTTCGCTTTGTCCCAGATTATCTCCTTTCCTTTAGCCATGTTCTCCGCCATGGTGTCGTCCAATGCCGTTGCCATCTTGGCCATCTTGGCGTTTGGAGGAGTCGATGCTCTCAGTCACCCAAAGGATAAGGCCGCTCTCTCGACAACAGCCCATTACGCTACCGTTTCCGCTTCGGCCTACTCAGCTACGACTGCCGCTGCATCTCACGGTAGCCACACATCTGCTAGTGGCCCCGACGATGATTATTGCGAAGACGACTCGGCAACAACTCTCTCCACGATCGTGACTCTCACGGGGGTATCTCAAAGCAGCCACACAGGTGCAAGTGATCCCGATGATGATGCTTGCGAGGATGAGGACTACGAATACATTCCGTCGCCAACGACTCTCTCCACGATCGTGTCCGTTTCTCAATCAGCCTACTCTTCTCCTCCGACGGTAGTATCTCACAATGGACACGCGCCGAAGACCTGCAAGGCGGTTGCTCCCCCACCAGCTCGTCTCACCTGCGGAACAGAAGGATACATCAGCCAGAACGAGTTGACGGGAAGATGGCCGGTCCAGAAGAAGAACAGCCTCGCAGAGTGTGCTACTCTCTGTTACACAGGCCCCGACTGCACGGCTTTCCATTACCGAGAGGATGGAAACTGCCAGATATTCATCAAAACGTGGGCCTCGTATGGATTCTACCCAAGCACGAGTGGGACGTATTGGTATCAGAAAGAATGTTTCGAGTGTTCTGATGGTAAGCTTTTAATCACTACGCACACATCGGCCACGCTAATCAGTATGAACCTAGCCGACGCGGTACTTGATGTTGATTTCCACGATCGTAACGTTTCCAACTGGTCACTCAAAACCGAAGTCGACGGCTCCTTCTATATGGACGTCCAGACCGCCGATGGAATTCCCGCGTTGAGAATTCTAGAATCGGCAACCGAAGGAGAAGCCCAAGTGAACTACCTGCCTGAATTCGAGGTCGAGGCGGAAACTACATACGAACTGGTATTCAACGCCAGGAGCAATCTTCCCGTCAATCAACAAACCGGCATGCCCGAGACCGACTTCAAGCTCCTGACATTCTACGTCTACACGCACGACGATGTCATCTTCGAGACCATTCCTGTGAATGGTGCCTGGACTGGCGGTCAGGGTTGGTTAAAATTCAGTAGCAAATTTGTTGTGCAAAAGGGGGAAGAAGGTGCTGCGACACTGGCCTTCACTGTTCACGCAAGCGGGTCGCAGCTTGATTGGTACTTGGGTTATCTTTACATTAAGAAAGTGTAATGCTTGCTTAAATCGCCAAAGGAGGATGTAAGATAATTATAAATAGAATAGACATTGATCTCTTGCGAGTATTTTTTTGGTTTTAAAGAATGGCTGTCAATACAGAGACGTTGATCCTTCGTGTCAAGTAAATGGTAGTGCTTGTCGACGCTAGTGGGAAGCCCGACTTAGATGTACATTGCCAGGCTTATGGACATGTGAATCAACGCAATTAAGAGCGAAATGAGAAGCCGAATAAATATTCCAAAAATCCCACAGGTTCCCAAGAGTCACTAAACTTTGCAATCATTATTCATATGTACTCCGCATCTCGATGCGCCCCGTGGGCAAGCAAGTGATCCAAAAAGACGCCTAGATTCTCTGAAACCCGGCATTTCAACCTCCGTCAGCTTTTCCCGATGGAGGAACTTTGCAAATAACCTTCTCTGTGACCATGATGACTCCTAAAAGGCAAGTCGAAATGCTCTTCGGTCAACTGTGCGCCCAGCACAGATTTCGTTGAGTTGTGGTGGTGTCAAGAGCACAATAGAAATATTACGCGACAGATCTAATACCGACTAGTTTTTTTAAAACTAAGGGAAGAGACCAAACTGAACAGAGTTATGCGTCTAAGGACACTAGATGCACTGAATATGACATCCTGACCGTGACGACGAACTAAATACAGGAAATGCCCCATCTCGCGTCATTTCTGCAATATTTACCTCGCTTTATTTCTTCGGCAGATTCCGAATTTCGCGCTAAAAAACAAAGACAAAGACTTCCGGTATCACCCATGAACTTCTGCCTTATCCCAAAAATTTCCCCGTTGCACTAGCCGACATCATAGATACTGTGTAAATGAAAATGCGTGATCAGGACTGTACATATCGCCTTCTACACGATAACGGGATCCAGGTAAGAAGGTAATCGACACGATCATGAACAAGCTGAAGATGATCAAGAAAACACACAAGATGGACAGGGCTGTGACGAAGGACGTGGCGACCCATGCCATGGAAATTGGCCCGACGAACTGGGTCCTCAAGAAGAGTAAGATGAGCGATATCAGCAGCAGAACGAAAAGGCGCAAAGCCAGTGACATCTCTGGGCCGTTAGTCTGATTCGCTTCAGGGGAATCTGCGCCGGCGAATGTTCGAGTGCGTCCAAGCCAGTCGGCCAGGGTGAAGAAATCGTCATCGTGTTTCTTGCCCTTGGCATGTCCTTTCTCATTGTAGCCCTTCATCGAGGTGCGTCGTCTCGAGTCCCTCCAAAAAAACGCATTGCGCTTGAATGCTTCCCACCGACCTTTTTCGCTGAGTGGGTGGCCTTGCTGAAGTTGCTGTAGTGAAACCAGCGTTGCCATCTGTTCGTTCGGCAAGCAATTCTGCTCTGATTTGGAGTCTTCGGACCATTCGGAAATCACTTCATCGATTAAATCATCCAACGTGGGACTGGGAATGCCAGGCGGCAGCCCGGCAGTGGTTTCGGACTCCTCGGATTCCTCATATCCCTCGGGCTCGTCCGGGATGGAGGTTGTTGGACCCATTGAACCATGAGAGGCGGAGGGCCAGGCTTCTTCCGTGTTGTCCAAGAAGAGTCCCTGGTTTTCAGTCGAAGTATCTCTCTGGGTGACATCAGACTCGACATTCTTGGACCCCTTGTCGACTTTCTGAGAATTGACGGCGATATGCCCAGAACTGGTGTTGGCTGGTGATTGCAGCTGATGAACTGCCATGATGGAGAAGAGAGTTGGTCGGTTGTTGGTAATTTGGCGTTAGGTTTGGGATGGGCAGCGGGAATGACGAAACTAGCAAGGAAGATCAAGGTGTCGACGAAAAGACAACGGCAAAGTGCTGCTGCTTGTCGTGTGAGCTTAAGTATGACGCAAGGAGTATCTAGGTGAGCCAAGCAGCCTGAATCACACAGAGGCAACAGAAATGAAGATGCGGAGGGCGTCAAATTCTATCAAAACAACAACAATAGCAACCAGCTCCATTTATAGGCAACCGCCCGCGATCGTTGGGACGTGCTCATTTCTTTGTTCTCGTCGCCATGAATCCCGAAGCAAAGAGGGGTAGAGTTTATCGAGATGCTCTGTGCTTCGTCGTAGTCGCGAATTATGGCGTCGTGGGTGGATGGCCAAGAACTGTGGCGCGGCACGGTCGCTGAATCTGGACAGGTAAACAATAACAATGGAACAGGCGCGGTGTGGCACTGTGCGAGATAGTGGGCAACATGAAGGTAAATTAAAGGGAGAGAGCTACTAAGACAACATGATGAACGGGATTGATGTGGTTGAAGCCAGCTTAACAGGGGTGGATAGGCCATAGTCTAAGATGGAACCGGAGTCAGTCCCACAGCACTCCATCGTGACAACACTCCGGCTTGTAAAATGTAGAGGTCACAGACAGCCGGCCGGGCCAGTATCAGCATTTCTCGTATCGCCATTTTAGAGGCCTTGCACCTGTGCGGCCTTGGTAGCCAACAATACCGCCACACAATACCACACATGTGGGAAGTCTCGAGCATTTACCCGGGCTGCACGCTTCTCCGTTTTCAAACTTGAACCAATCACTTTATTTCTACTAATTATCGCAGAAACACTTTTGGACTGTTCAAGCTCAATGGACGCACTGCCTACGCCTCCTCTGTTTCCGGAGGTCCACGCTCCTTGGCATCCGCGAGCATCTTGGCAAGTTATCTCTAGTCACAGATCGCGCAAAAATATTTGAAGAATAAGCCCGCCCGCGCTCCACGAAATAGCACTTTTGAAGAAAAAAGGGGGAATAGGTCCTGTGCTTCAACATAATAATTCGCTAGCAAACGTTGGGAGATCTCCTCTGGACTACAATAGGTGGGAAGTGGGATCCTATGTGCTTGTCAGAAAATGCATTGGTGCATTGTCATGTTCCCTTAGCTTAGACATTGAACCTGTAATAGGTGTGTAGGATGCGAAAGGTTATGCCACGGCAGAGGAAGTTTGTGCAGATCTCTTTGTGAATAATATGGAAGGGGAAACAGTATATTCGTAGCTAATCACTCTTTAAAATAGCTCATGTCACTCCATTCTTCATACTCCGCGTCACCGGACACGATAACCACTTCAGAGGCGGATAAGATACACTATGATAGACCACCATCTAGAATCGACATCATCAGCAAGGAAACTACACTCTAGCGATGAAGGCCCCACATACGTTCAGAACAGTAACTTTTGCCGGGAATAGCAAAGTTGTTGCAGCTCATGACGGCGCATGGCGCTTCGGCCATGCCCACAAGGAGAGAGGAGGCTTGGGTCGTAATACACATGATGCACGATCTGGGAAGATAAAGATGCTGTTTTAGCTTGTCAGGGCGTCTCGGCCTAGAGTTGTCTGCTGGTTCTAGGCTCTCGATGGCAAACTTGGGGATTCTCGAGCTCTTTATATCCATTCGTCGGAAAGAGGCGCAGCCATGGTCCGGCTTACTCCGACCAGACGCCTCCCAGATGCATCTCGCACCCGGCGAATTCACCTGGTCGGGTGCTGCCCGCATTAGGATGGTGTGGCCTGATCAATAGATTAGGTCCTTTCCAGCCGCGCTGTAACGAATCAAGATGGTGATAGTGTCACACCAGGCATGTGCATTCGTTCCCATGCCCATATTGCCGAGGCGGTTTATGCCCGAGCTGCCCAGACCCCACGGCACACTTCTTCCCGGGGTTCAGGTATCATAGGTGGAAGCCGTCTCTATGCAATATACGTTGGCTCGAACCAACACCCTTGTCCATGGAGCGTAAGCTGCGTTCTACATGCGACTCACTGCGCATCCTTTCCTCCCTCGGTAGTGACAAGGATCCAGAAACATCTCATGACGGCTATAACACGGCCAATAAGGTAATTTCCCGGTCTCTTCCTCAGCGAGATCAACCCTTAACTACTGGAGGTCAGCGACCCAGCTCAAAACGTGATCTCCCTCGTCGGATCCCTCTTTAGCTACCAGGTCGATCCGATTACCCGCATCTGCCCAGATTCGCACCCTCTAACAAAGGCACGACGATCGGGATACTATCATACACCCGGATATATCCGCCCCATGCGTACGCCTGCGAGCTGGTAATACCCAGGACGCTATTGCCGGTCCTCGGAATAGACGGCAGGTAACGGGTATCAACTTAAACTTGTTGAGGAGCTGCATAGCAATCGAATCTTGGGTCCGAATCACCTTGGGAAGGGATCAAATGCAGTCGAGCGTTCAACACACCCTGCTAGAATCAATTGATCTGGTTCGACACTCCTGGACCACACCACCAAACTGGGTTTCATGTAGTTTTGCCCTATCAGGTGCCTTCGACTGCAGCAGCCATATTCACTCCTTCTCCTCGGGAAACTTCGCTGCGTCCACCTACATAGGCTTCATCGTCCATTCCTTCAAAGTCATTCTCACCTTCGGAGACATTGGGCCCAGAGCTCTCAGGCTTTAGGTAGGTAGTCGCTGTCTGTGCAATGCGCAGGCTATTGTGGTCGCCCGCGAGAGAGGAATATCAGGTACATACATAGTGTTTCTTTGAGTACTGTAATGTCAAGTGCATTGAAACAAGGGTTTAAGTGAAAAAGGTCCAATTAGAAAATGAAGTGTGGATAACGTCTACAATCCTAGAAGACTAGAGTAGTATCAATTAGGTGTACGAATTGAGATGTTTCGCTGTAAGTCACAAGATTCGATCCCATCGCACAGCCGACTGCTGAGGCTCCGTCCCGCAGTAGCACCCTGACACATTCTCTACTGTAGGCAATTCAGCTACATGTTGTAGAATTACAAATAAATCCAAGTCCAAGCAGATTTCTATGTAAAATAGCTCAAGTAGAGAGCAAATGCACCTACCCTATAGCCTCGATTTTCGAGAGATGGTAACCACTTCTCCCCAGGCAGAGGCAAGACAAAGAATTTCGAATCATATTATCACAATTCAATAAGGGTTGTTATGGCCTCGTTTCAGGTGAATGGTGAAGAGACAGAGAACGCCAATAAGGCGGAAAGCTGTAACGATTGAGGAATGGGTGAGAAGAAATACTTAACCCAGGAGCCCGGGACCACTGAGAGGTGCGAGATGAACTGGATGGCAAACATCTATCATCATTTCCAATTTTGACCGTAAAGCTATCTTTAAGATTTAGATAGAGCATGTGGACCTAATTTTGGGAGTCTTGTTGAACTTGAAGATGCTACTCGAGTACTTGTGGCGACTGGGGTACAGGGGTCAGGAACGCGTGGAAGCGCGTCGCCACTCCGAGAAACCTCGAAGCGCCACTATCACGAACGATAAAGGTGTGCATGACAAGTCGCATTACTATTCTTCGCCAGTGCATAGTTAACTTGTGGGCCAGTGCAAATCTGCCTTGAGGTTGAAGACAAGGGTGGAAGGACTACAAAACCATAGACCGGGTTGCTATCTCAGTAGACACCACATGCCCTCGAGGAAACACTTCATCGCTAGCTGGTATGAATCTCTCAAACTATAACAGACCCGTCATGGGAAGATAAAAATACGACTCAAGTCCTGAATGTATCGATCGACAACGGTGGGAGATCCGATTAGTCGAGGTGCGCAATGGGCGCTAAAACACATCGGCTCTTTTTCGAATGGTCTAGACTTTTTGGCGACTTTTGGGAACTTCGAATGATTGAATCAAAGCTATAGGAGAGTGGTCTAGACTGCGAAAAGTAATATGGAGCAATGGACCCGGGGCAACTGGCACGGGTAGAATTGTTGTTAGGCGTGGAGCAAGGCTTTCGAAATGACTTGTCTTTATTTGGATCAGTGCGACACTCTGAAGGGCTCATTGGGGTAAACAGCCCGACACTGGTGTCATTTGTGAGCTTCGGGGAACAACACACAAGAAAACTAGTCCCACAGAAGGAAAGAGACAATCAGCCAGAAGGTCACATTAGATGGCACCCACCGGAGATGGACATCACTTCAGTTCAGAATAACCGAGTGCGTAGCGCAGCCTCATCTATACTACAATGCTGCCCTTCATGTCTCAGAAGTTTTCAAGGTTGCCACCCTCTAGGACTTGAAAGACATGAGGAAGACCCAGTTTCAGGTTGAAATGTTCTGGTGGTGAGCAACATCACAGTGGCCACATGCCCGCCAAGAAGCTAAAGTCCAGCTAGGAACTGCATGGATGATGGAATCGCCCAAGTTGTGGCGAGCTGAAGCGAGATTTGTAAGTCAATGGCAAGAAGGTGGTTGGCGGACGGGGAGACGGCTGAAGCCCCAGCATAAAATAGCTCACTACCTGAGACAGCCACCAACGACCGCGATGGGCCCAGTAAGTTCATTAGTGATCACGCAGCCGAATTGGCCAATACGAGCACGGGTTTTGAAGAGCGGACTGTTCATCCAATGATGGGTTCACCCTAGATTTGTATCGTGATGTGCTGACACTGTCGGTCATTGCTTGCGCACTACGGGCTGTAGCTAGTATCATTCGTTGCTTCTTCTTCTGTTGGCGATAAGCTATTGCGTGGGGGGCACATTGGTATTATCACTGTCCCACAGGAGTTGGCGGGCAGCTCCATTTCTAATAAAAACCAACTCAGGAAGCTGGTGCTCTTGAACACCGGTTACGATTAATCGAACTCCTCCTTTATTTCGATGGCATTCTTCTATTCGTATCGATTATTCTACTGAGTTTCTTGCCATAATTGGGCCAAGAAAATCCTCGGAGACCAGAGACATTTACGAAAGGTCTCAGCTCTTCTGGGGGACCAAGCCGACAACGCCACACCTCACGACGGGCGGGGGTGGTGCGAGCCTTGCGGAGTAGATACGCAAGATGCCAAGGTGCATTGTGACGAGGTATTTTTTCTCGGTTTTGATGTCGCCGCTTCTTGAGTGGACGCCATTCGCTCATCGAGCGTCGAGAACTTCACCGCAATCGCGCCACCAGGGGCGAGGGGGGCTCAGCGCAATCCCGACCAGAGCTATTACCCTGACGGAGACATGTCCCGTGTTTAAGCCATGCCCATTGTTGGAAATCCTTATCCACGCAAAAGCAAACACTCGGTCCGTCTCACGGTGCTGCGGTTTCAATTCAGCTGGGCTTGGCCATCACAATGCAAGAATCCCTCCAGGCCAATGGTCCCAAGACACCCCGTCGGACACGGGACAAATTGCCTCAGATTCCGCTGCCGGCTTTTTTATCAATGGAGATGTGCCGATAGCTACAGACTGAGAAAACGGGCTGTCGGCCAAGAATCGGGGGGAGGGCAGCTCCACGGAATGTTGACCGGAGTAACCATTTGATCATTTCCCCACCCAATCTTGTCCTCGCCCGCCCATACATCGCCTAGTTTATCCACAGCAACTCCTTCTTCTCACTGGTTTAAATGACACCTACCACTATTTTACGGGTGTTTTCCTGGTCGCTGAGGATCAGCGCCAGTTTTGTGAAATGGCGAAGTCGAGATTCGCAGCGGTCAATGGTACCGAACTCCTCCTCCGCAGGCTCCCGAGGAAGATAATCGACCTGCTGAAAGTCTTTCGGGGCATTGGGATGGTCCATGGTCTTACTGCTCTCGACCTCCTTGCATTTCCACTGGCCGGCATCTGCTTCGTCCTTCGCAGTCTGGTTGGCAACAATCGCCAGTATTTGGGCTGTGTGGTTTCCAAGCTCGAGTACCTATTCAGGCTCATGAATAGGCGCAAGGGACTTGAAACCCTACGCTCTTCCTCTCATTCAATCTCCACTGGAGACTTGGATCATATCTTCGTTCAGTAGCACAGCAGTGAGTTGCTCTGGCTGTCACAGATGGTGGAATCATCCCGGATGTTTTCTCATGGTACCTCTACCCATTACAGTATTGACGAACCATACTAACTCGTTCATTCATAGATGACGTCTTTACCGAAAATTCCTCCAGTACCAAGACAATAGCCACATGGCCGCACCGGGTGGGACACATGGTCGAGTTTGTAAACCCAGGATGGCCACAAACAATAACCGGCGGTCCTCAGAGCTACTTGACCATCGCTGGCACCCACGGCATCAGCAACGGTGAGGCCGTTTCCATCTCTTTGGAGAGCCGTAAGTTTCAAGCTATGGAGATACAGACGAGGGCTAAGTCGTTTGAAGGCTCTTATGGAAGAAAGGACCAAGCATGAAGTGAGAATGGTGCTATCTAACGGATATGTGAAGTAATGTTTCTTGTGTGTTTGGAGGGTTCAAAAACTGGCCAGGCGTTTGGTTTTCTTAACAGCTATCAGGCTGCGTGGGGCGTTTGACGGCCAGGTGATTGTTTCATGGTTTTTGGAGATGACTTTTCAGGGTTGTCTTGTCATCACAGCGATTGGTTTGCATTGCAGGCGTACATTATTGGGGGACTCTTCTCCTCCAGGGAACATTGATTTGTGTAATAGAGGCTCTTATGGGCAACATTTCGTCGATGTTTGGGTTGGTTACAGTCACTTCACGGTTTAGGACAGCTTCGCTTACAATTAGACGGGCATTTTAAGCAAGACAAAAGCGGTTTTAGCTGCTAGATTGGTCAATATAATCTAAGTCTGTTTTGTTTTCCGTACAATTACTCCGATTCATGCGATAGGATAATGTACCATCTACTCGAGTCAAAAAGTACGCGGCCAATCCCAGCGTTTAATGGTGGCATGACAAAATTGCTCCATTTACGAGTACATGGTAAGGTTTCGGATAAGTATCTTTCTAATTTTCTCATTAGATTCTAACGAGTATGTGTGGTGTGAGCATGACTGAATCTTGGTAAGGACGTTCTCGGCCGACGAGGCATCTGCCCAGCGAGAGAATGCTGCGAGCAGGCCTTCGTCTTGCCACCAGCAACTCTCCTCACCTTCCGAAGTAGGAAGAACACTTGCGTGGGGTAGAAAATTTAAGCAATACTAGCTACCGGGTACGAATTTCCAGGCACTGAGTGCCGAATACCGAGTACACTGGGATGAGGAGACACGACGGAGGCTTGCAACAATGATGCCCAACGCGTCCCCTCCACACAACTTAACCCCATGTCAGGCCAAAATTGACCCTTGTTCCTGGTATAGCGCCCCCTATGCCACCGTAAAACGTTGCTTTTAAATTTCCAGCATTGTCCTTGCAACAGACGCCTCCATCATCCGAGTTGTCAGTTGTCAGTTTGCACATCTCGAACGCTCGAGATCGACGCGACCAGGGCTAACTAGCTTGAGCCCGCATATACCGAGTTTGCAAAAGTTGAGAAGTGATCAAGGCATGTCGGGTCAGGGCGATAAAGTTGCGTCCAACGAGATTGGATCCAGGTATCGCTTATGTATGATGCAGCAGGGACATGGTTTAGTCCACGGAGCGATGCGGGACGGCGCGGGATGACCAAGCAGAGTGTTCCCAGAGAGCTCCCTGTCGTCCGTCATTCGACAACAAAAAGCGTTGTACAGGTAAGGTTTTTTTTATGATGTCAGAAGGGGTCATTTTGGGACGAATCTGTTACTCCGAGTGTGGAGTTTACGATACCATCATCTAGGAGCACAGCTCCAGATAATTGTGCCAGCCAAAACTCATTACAGAACGCAGCCCGCCATGTCCACGAAAATGCAACCGGAAGAAGAAAAGAGAGCCAGGGCACTAGAGTTAAGCCCATTCTATTTCATTACGTGGCTGCCACATCTCTGTCCCGTGTTCCCCAACAGATGTTGGTTGGATGAGGGCGAAGCGCTGCCGGCGGCCGACCGTAGTGTTCGCTTTCCACCGAGACATTGACCGGTCTGCCACTTCCACTAGCATTCAATCCCCTATCCGGCTGACCGATGTTGTTTGCCACGGTGCGCAGCCAGCCACCGACTATGCAGTCGCAAACGGCTCGACGCCTTCAAGACGAAGCCACCTATGATATCTGCTGCATGCATCAAAATACCCCACTCAGACCCCTGCCGTTTGCAATGGGCTTGCTCATTATTGCCTCAATGCCCCAGCTATCCGTTTCCAAGCGCTTCTAAGCCAAGGTCTCCCTTTATCGGTGGCTGGGTTGAGACAATCGGCATACTGACCACAATGTGTGCAAACAGCCAATCATGATTCCAATATGGGTGTGATAAGACTAGCGGCTGCCGTCATGTAGCACAGACGGTGTCTGCTGCCTAAATGGCGCTGGAAATGAAACCGGTGAGGAAATCAAGAAAGCCAGGCTGGGGAATGCAACACACCATCAGACTCCGCCATCCATTCAATTGGGCAGAACGCAGCTCGCCCCAGGACCATGCAACATAGCCGAATACGAGCCCCCCGAGATGCTACAGGCCGTGCCCACTCTTGGGGCTGCAGTGAGAAATGATTTGACATACGCCACAAACCAGATGTCTAGGTATCACTCTCCGTGCAGCAACTGCGGAAGCGAGTTGGCAGGTGACAAGTCGCCTCAGAGCGGCGAACCCCGATCGGTGCTGGTAAACTTTTGCCATTATATCGAAAGGCACCTTCCTACTGTTAGGCTCCCAGAGTCTTGTCTCACGAGTCTAAGTAACGTGCTGGGTTACCAAGGGTGGCGCAAACGCCATCGCTGCCAAGTTGCGCATTCTCCATGCAAGTTGGTCGATGACCGAAGTAACCCTACCACCGCTCAAATCGCATCTCTCCTCAGCCAAATCCAAACCCGGAGGTTCATTCAGTGATTCGACAAAAAGCCCTGAATCTGCTAGCACAACAACGCAGTCCTCCACCTTACTCAACGACTTGGAGCCCGTTCATAGAGGGCCATAATTAAATGAACCAGCTGAGTTTATACATTCACATTTCCTGGAGAAAAAAACCGTGGTCGTAGGGTCAGTATCTTAAGCTCAACCCGAGGCCCCCCATCCTGTGTCTGCCGTTTGTTCGCCCGTAAGCGAGGCTGAGATTGGAGGCGGCATAGGCGTAGGATAGATCGACAGTAGGCGAAATCTGAGCAGGAGCCTCGCAGAGCCATGGTGTCCCACTGACCGACGCCGTACGTGAATCACCAACATATCGCCCAACATCCAGCATCGAGGGCGGCTTGCTCTGCTGGACGACGTAGCCGATGGTCGCTACCCGCCCCGTTCTGGACAAGCACAGCGGGAGGCAAACCAAAATGCCTGCCTCTGCCCTGCAGTGCGTACGCTTCCAGGACCCCGAAATCCTGCGGCAGGACCCAAGGTACGCGCTGGGTGACTTGTTCCAAATCTCTTGCGCCGCGGAACAACAATTCCTGAATCTGGTACAGTCCCTTGCTAGACCACGAGAGAAGGAACCCACCTCAGAGGATGGAACGCCCCGTGTTGAGACGGATCGGCTTCCCCGCTTCTTGAAGAGTCCGATGGATAAGGTCGATGAGACCTAGATCGGTCCCTACCAAGGATGGAATACCAACAAGTTAGAAAGTGTTTGAACGACGAGGTCCCGGGTACCCAAAAACTCACCGGGCGGCCCTGTTACGCTGACGCTGATTGGGAATGGTTCCCTGCGGTGCGTTATCTCCGAGTCGTACGATATCTCGCCGACTGAGTTCGTCCTCATGAGCATCACATCGCACGAGTTGAGGCAATATCCACTCACTGGGCGCTGTTACTTCTAGGATTCCAGCGATAGGTGATATGCAAAGGGAGGAGTATCCGCTGAGGAGACCGAACGGACTGCCCAAGACAGAAAGTTTAGTAAGGATAATCTCTAGTACAGGTTCAACTTACGGGGGAGGGGTATCGCGATAGTTCGGCCTGCCCTCGTCAATGGGGAGGACAAGAATGGAACCCTCAGTGAAGATGTTGTCCAGAAGCCACTTTCTGTACGTATAGATCCGGGCCCACCCCTCGTCTCGCTCCTCTGGCGTTACTTGGTCCGCCGTTTCCCTGACAGAGAGATCATCAGTACCACAATCTACGTGACGCAACTCTAGGAAATTACCATCTCCATAGAAGAGCGCGATGTACGAACGGCGTCTTTCCGAACTTCGCCGTGTAGCCATCGTAAAATTCCTTGACGACGCCGATAGCGTCCTGATAGTAGGGTAATGTTCCGGCCTGGTGAGGGTATATCAGCAACAGTTCTTTGGAAGATGTGAAAGGCCTAGCATAGAAAGAACGTGCCGTCTTGAGGTACTCTGGGAGATCCTTGTCGACCACCGAATCTGGAGGAGATTTCTTCCACAGCTCCGCTAGCGAGATGGGTGTTCGCTTTGTACCAAGCACATGCTCTCGATCCTCGACAAATGAGTCAATGAGCTTCATCTGGGATGCATTGGAGGTTGGTAGGTAGTCGAGAGGGTAGAGTATCCCAGTCCCGCTCTTCGAGCAATCAGAAGACGTTAGGCGGCATTCGGAAGTCGACTTAGAGCAGAGCGGAGAAACATACCGTCCCAAACTCGTAATCCTTCATCAGCCTGTTTGAGTCGCCGTACCACAGCTCTGCAAAGTGACGGAAGCGTGAAATGTCACGGCCAAAGAAAGAGGGAACATCGAAGTACCTGATGAATCTGTTAGGGACCGAACAGGAGCTAGGGTCAATTGTAAAGGGTTGGTTGGAAATACGGGCAGAAAGACGCTACGCCTTGGGTATCGAGAACGCCGTGTGTCGGCCGAATAGCAAAGCATCCGTTCCAATAAGCAGGCTTTCGACAGCTTCCATTCGCTAGAGATGCCATTGAAATCAGCTAAGTACACCGAAGGAAGGGGTCGGGGGTTGACGGGACTCACTGTCGGAGCCAATGGCAAAGTCGATCCAGGGGTAGGCTCCGAGAGCTGCGCAGCTTCCACTGCTGCTCCCAGACGGAGTCTGATAGCCATCCCCGCGAGGATTGTACGGCGCGAGCCATTCGACGCACTCCATGGTCTCCTCTCGGACTACCATGGCGTTGAGCCGAGTCTTACCCACCACCCACGCCCCTAGGTCCTGAAGACGCTTGATTGAGGGGGCAGTGCGTGTCTTGGGTGACTGATATTCTGCCCAAGCACGATTGCAAAGCGCGGTCTTACTCCCTTCTATATCGAATATGTCCTTGACAGCAATCGTGACGCCCTTCAGCGGTTTATCCGGCGCGACGCTAGCGTTCGCATAGGACTGTGGTGGTACGGCCCCGGAGGGAGCTGACCCCGTTAAGGGTGTTGTCCAGTTCGACCGGTCGTCTTGGAGATGTCGCATATCAGCGTCGGAACGTTTGATGAGAAGACTGGTAATGCGGCTAAACTTACCCTCTGTTAGGCTGGTAGGTCACCGTCATTGTCAGATTCTGATCATGGTAAATTCTCCAGGGTTGAAAGATATGCCCTTCGTAGCCGACATATGGGCCGCTATCAAGGTTTGACATGTTTGGGAACTTGGCAAACTCCCATTCCGCCTTCCAAACTTCCTTCAGTAGTTGGATGGCGGAGGGTTGGAGATATATAACTGCTTCCTCGGCACCATAGAAAACGATCAGCTGCAGGAAGTCGGTCTGGAAAGAGACATCTGGCTCCAGAACGCCGGAGCGGAAGTCTTCCAGTTGGGCCTCGGATACGGCAACGCCATCAGGTATGTTGTAGAGGATGAAGGGGGTGGCGCCGCGCCTGGCGGCTACGGCTCCAGAATAGCCATCGATTGTTCCACCCTGTTTCGGTAGAGGTCAGCCTGGAAGCAAAAGGAGCAGGGGCGGGAGCAGGCCGGGGAGAGGGGGACCATGGCTTCCGTACATGGCCGACCAGCTTGTAAGAGACATGATTGATGACGAGAATATTGTCAGCGTAAACAACTGCCGGGTTCTCCATGTCGGATGTCTCCTTGAAGCAGTACTTAGCCGCTGCGCTGCTTTCGTCCAGGTGCTGCCGTTTCCGAAAAGTACGATGATGGCGGCGATGACTTCGACGACGACGAATTGAGAGATGCAGAACAGCAGACAGAGGGGAACCTTTGTATCGTTTAGTAGCAGGGGAAATGAGAGAAATATGCGCGCAGATGAATTAAGCTCGAGAACGAGGATCCTCGACCACGATAGGAGGGGACGCAGCGTCACTTACTAAGCCTTGTGTGAGGCATAATTCAGGATTTCAAGACAATGAACGCAACCAAAATCCACCACCATACTCTGAGCGAACTGTTGTAGGGCGTGCCACAATTTTGGTTTCAAATAGAGCCAACTTGGCCAACTCCAAGCGGAGTAGAGAGTCATTATTTCTCTAGGTGGATGGCTACGGTGTATTGAAACGCGATTTAGACGAAAAGCTACTTAGGTCTGGAACGCTCCGATGTACAACTCTACAATTACTGGGTAGTATCGTAAATATTTGGTCAGAGAGGAGGAAGCCGACGGGTGCCGGGGGCGGCGTTGGGAGGTTGACTTTAGGGACTGACTTGACGATAAGATCGAAGCACATCACAAATTAAGAACTGCCGTCCTCCCTCACCAAAACGACCCACCAAGTTCAGGTCCCACCGCTATCGCAGATGCTTTTACCGGCAACTATGGCCGTAGGCTTGGCCAAGGTCATAAGCCGTGGTGGCATTCATGATTATAGTGGTCGTGACCGCTATGACAGTAGCAGCTCTTTATCCAAGAGAAACTTTTCCTATCAAGCATAGGCTCTACATATATGGAAAGCAATTTACTGAGGGAGCATGAGATATATGTGGTATTTGTACGCCACAATATGTCGGTCTGTTATTGCTAATCGCGGAGTTCGGCTGGCTTGGTATGTGGAGTTTTGCTGCAGGGCCTGAATGCAGTATAATAATTATTAAATAGAAAGAAAAAAAGGGGTTGTTAAAACTTATTGGTTAATATTCCTATCTTTATTTAGACTTAATTTATGTCTCGTCTTCCTATTTCTAAAGATTATTAGTGATGGCAAAGTGGTTCTTCATTGGCCCCTCTGTTAATTTGCCAACTTCCAATATCGAAAGTCTAAGTCTCTATTCCAGAAGGCTTGGGCGTCAAAAAATGGTTGCCCTTGAACTCTAGATGAGAGCTTGACGGGATCCCGTATTTCTAAGAGCTATGGTCGTATGTACCAGGAACCGAGGGAATACGGTATATCATAAACGATAGGCATCTCATCCCTGGACTCAATCTGAGGAAAGCCGTGAGTACAACCTCAAGTGGGTTAATCCCATTCTTAAGATGCCGATTGGGGGAATTCCAAAAAGGCGCAATCAATTCCTAAGAGCCGGTGGAGCTCTACAATTTGGCAGAACAAATCTAACGTTTTTGCGAGCTCTATAAGGCGAACCTGTTTCCCTGAGTACGGATTGAGGAGGTAGTGTCGTCAATGGGATCATAGAGTTGACGTCCGCAAACCTCATATGCTTATCATCGCCAGGCGCATTGCCAAGACGGGGACCATGAATATCCACAGCATCGAGAAGGGGAGAATCGATGGTCTGGGAGGAAAATGGTGCCATATGAAACAGCACATCGTCCATCCGAGCAGGATTATCGAGCACAGTCGTTGCGACAACGGTGTTGGCATATGACGGGGTCTCCATTGATGCCGACGAGAGATCGTTGGCCACACTATGCACAGAAGACAGCTCCCGTTCGAGGCTTGGAGGGCAGCTCGGCGCGATTGATGTCACATGGGTAGGACGGGGTCGCGATGGTGTGAGATCATCAAAGCCCATCTGATCCGTGACCCAAGACGGAGTATAAACCGAGCGAGGGACTCCATCCGGAGGGAAGTAACTGAAGGTTCGGATGGACGGGTTTGCAATCGGCGTCGAGGGTAAGAAAGTATCGCCGTCCTCGTGAGTGACGTTGTACAAGCTTCTTAAACTGTCGCCTAGAAGCGGGCTGCGGCGGAGCTGGCCACCGTATGTGCTCATATCTCGGCCCCGCAGCGCCGCAACGCTGTCCCTCGAAAGGCTGAACTTGGCAGGATTTCGACGCGGTGGCGTGGACAAGTGGGATGACTTGAGCTTGCGAAGTGGTGTTTTGGGGTGGGTTGTTGGTAGGATATGCTTAGGGCGAGTCAATCGTGAAGACTGCGGCGTTTCGAGACCCCCGTCGTTCATTCCCTTCACGCCGCTGCTGTCGTCGCTTGGCGATTGCGGAGGGTTTGCTGCTTCCTCGCGCTTGGCGGAGATCCATGCCATGGTAGCTTGCCGCGATCCAAAATGCCTTGCCAAGACCACAGCGTCCCACAAGTATGGAGGATTGTCCATCTTCACAAACGCCCCCCATGTATTTGCTTCTCGGAGGAGGCGCTGAGCCCGTTCGATGAGCTTTTCTAGGCCTGCATGAGCAGTGAGTCTGAAATGGATAGTCGGATGCCTACTGAATATGATGGCGCGAAGCCCATACTTGTAGTCAAAGTCCAGCCCGACTTGTTCCAATAATCGCCGACAAAGAAACTTGCGATCGGACAGCAGGATGAGGTTGGGAGTCAACCCATGTCGTCGGAGGGTATCCAGGATGGTTGCTTCAAGCTCCAGGCACAGGTGAACTTCAAAATTTCCTTCAGCTCTCATCTTGAGGAAGTAGACGGCCATGCTGACTCCGGAGATGGACTGGGAGTGCTCATGGTCAGTCTGGTATCGGACATGGTCGGCTAGGCAAACGAAGCTGAAAGCAATAGGATGCAGTATCAACGTACCCCAGTGCCATTTTGGCTGCAATCCGAGCACATTGCTAGCTCCAATGGACAGCGGGTCGATTTCTCAGATGGGACAAACAAAACGGCCCAGGAAAAAAGAGGACGAAGCCGACAAAGGATTGCAATGTCTAGCCGACGCAGGACGCCAACTTTGTTCACCGGTAGTGAGAGGACCGTCACAAATGGCAATAATATGGAAGGAATGAGGAAAATGACGGTCCACTCGCCAAACTGAATCCGTTAATGGATGCCACATGAAGAGGGGGAAGGGTTGGCGAAGCGCTGGAGGAAAAGACGCTGGTATGGAATCTGGTGAGAGAAACCATCGCGACAAAGGAACAGGACGCATGCCAGTTGTTAAGCATCCTCCAACCTATCACCATAGAGTTCTTTGTTTGAACAGGAGACATCCTGAAGAGTGTTGCTCCCCGCCCGCCACCAATGACTATTAATACCCTTCTCCAGATTGGTGCCTCATTGTATGGCCGTACATTCCCCAAGGTGCAGCCATGTATTGCACGTGCTCGCGCTGCTAAAATATCAATTGGGAGCGTCCCTATCTAACTCAGGTTTGCAAATGGCCTTCACTGAGCAAATGTACTGCCCGTGCGGGAGAATTTATTCAGTCATTTATCGAGCTGGGGTCATGTTGGGACATCCGCGCGAATCAGAGACGAAGTGTTGCGCAGTACGCGGAGAGGGGAGCCTGACAAAAAGTATTTTGAAGTTCGCTGAAGGAATGAAGGAGGCGGGAAGGCGTTAGAGTGGAGGAGCGGCGAGGAGGTACGAGAGGAAAGAAAGGGCGAGTGCGCTGTAATTTAGTGACGGAGGTGCTGGCTCCTGGAGAGAGCGTGTGGGATGTCACTCCACCCATGCTCTTTTGCGACAGGCCTCCCTCAGGTACTTGACGGTGCTGGTGGAAGATGGGCTGTGCTTGTACCACACGGCGCTGTTACGGAGTACGTGTCTGTTGGACGGGCAGCAGCGGCTTAGTGATGGGGAGTGGGTTGAACTGTGGGGGTTGAACTGTGGGGGTTGAACTGTGGGGGTTGAATTGTGGGAGTTAAACTGTAGGGGTTAAACTGTAGGGGTTATATATAGAGGTTAGGTAGTATTTAAGTAGAGGGTTATAATACTATATTAATAAAATAAGTTTATATTAAATTTTAGTTTTATTTAATTAAAATTAAAAATATTATTATATTATTATTATAATTTAATTTTATTTTTAATTTATTTTTATATTTTTAATTTATTATTATTTTTATATTTTTATAATATAAATATAAATTATTATAATTTATAAAAATTTTCATATAATATAAGAATAAATTTTATAAAAATAATATATAAAAATTAAAAATTAAATATATTATATTATAAAATATTTATTTATTACATATAAAATTTATATTTCCCTTAATAAGAATATTTAATATTTAAATTTACTATATTTTTATTATATATATATTATAGTTATTAAAGCTTAAGTTTTAAGTTTTAAATTACTTTTTTCTTTTTTATTAAAATTCTATTTAACTTTTTTAACTTTAATCTTAATAAATATATTAAAAACTTCTATAATCTAACTTAATATTTTAAGATTCCTAATATTTATAATAACCTATTTTTATTTAAATTCTCTTTTATTAGTATTTTATAGAGTTAGTATTTATATTAACTTAATATAATAAAATAACCTTTAAAATTAAAAGTTATATTAAATTTTAGTAATATTTTAAAAAAAGATTTAATTCTTTAAATTAATATTATTAATATTTTTATTAAATTATAAAATATAGCTATTTTTATTTAAATATATAAAATAAAATTATTATTAAAAATTTAATTTTTTATTTATTAATTTAATTTTTATTATAAAAAAGTAAATAATATTTAAAAATAATATATATATATAGCTTATATAATAAATAAATATATATAATAAAAATCCAACCTTTAAAACTAAAAATATAATAAAAATACTATAAACTATTTAATTAATTAAAACTACTTACTATACTCTTTTTAAATATCTTAATTACTACTTAATAAATTCTTATATTATAACCGAACTTACTATAGATACTATAATATTAAATACCTAATTATACTAACTTTCCTTAACTACTACTTCTTAATAATTTAGCTACTACCTATACATCTATATCTATTTAATTAATTACCTGTCTTTCTTTCTCTACTATTATTACCTCTTTTTTTATAATCTAGTTCTTTTACCCTCTAGTGCCGGCTTAGTATTTATTTGTCTTTTAAAGATCTTTATTCTTAGTAGTTAATAAGTAACTCTATATATAATAGCCTTTATTTTTTAGAAAGAATTATAAGCTTTAAGAATTAACTTTAGGAAGCTGCTTTTATATCTTTTAATTTATCTCTTAAGATATTCTAATTAAGATTTAATCTTAAGTATAATTTTTAGAGTTTTTAAAATCTAAGAGGTTAAGAGCTTAGTTTTTTTCTTAGTAAGTATTAGAATTTATAGCTATATATTAAGCTTTAAATTATATTTTTAAATTAAAGGAATAAGCCTAGCCTTTTAAAAACTATCTTAATATTTTTTTTATTATAATAGCTTGAAATATAATATAAAAAGCTAAAAGAATTTAATTTTAAAAATATAAATTATAAAATATCTAATTAAATATTTATTTCTTAATTATAAGCTTTCTTAAGTAACTTAAAGTATTTAATATTAAGAAGCTAAAATAATAAAATAAATAAAATAGTATATAAAATCTAATAATCTTATTTTTCTTATAATATTTCTTAAATTTAATAAATTAGTAATTTTTATAGCTATTAAGAATTAAAAATAATAAAATTAATTAATTAATTATTATATATTAATTAAAATATTAAGCTATTTAAATTAATCTTATTATTAATTTAGCTATTTTAAGTTATTATAATACTTAATTATTAAAAGGTACTTTTTTAATATTAATTAGTAAGATAATATTAATTAAATTAATAATAAATAGCTAAATTACCTAATCTATTTATATTAATTACTTAAATAATTATAATTTATTTTTAATTTCTAAGTTATATTAATTTTAATTTTCTATATCTTTTTAAGCTTATAATAACTATTTTATTTATAATTATATCTATAAAAAGCTATTTTATTAAAATTATAAATATTATTTAATTAAATATTATATTTATAATTATATTTATATAAGTATAAATTACTTTTAGATAATAATTAAATTTTATATTTAACTTTCTAATAATTATATTTCTAAAAGAAATATATCTTAAAATCTAGATATTATTTAATAAAATTTAAAGCTTAATATATACTAACTAGTAGTATATTACAATTAGTAAGTAATTAATTAGCTATATCTTTTATATTATATAGTTAGGGGGAAATTCTTATAAATCTAAATTAAGAATAAAATAAATAAGAATTCTTTTCTAAATTAAAAGCTTATATAATTTAGGAATCTAATTAAGTTAGAATTAAATATCTTATTGCCAGTACTATAGCTTTATATAACTAATATTATATATCTCTATAGTATATTAGAGCTTTAGTTTTAAGTTATTTTAAAGAGCTTAAAGAGTAAGAAGAATTCTAGTTTTATTATTAGATTATAATATATTAGTAGTTAAGAATTAATAATTAAATAGAGATAATATAGATTAAGGGATTTTTATTATATATACTTATTTATTATATAAGCTATATATATATATTAATTAATATAATTTTTTTTAAATATTATAAATAATATAATAATAGCTTAAATAAATTTTCTTTTTAAGAAAATTTAAAAAAAAGAAATATTTTTATTTTTTTAAATTATTTTTTAAATTTAAAAGAATTTAAAATTATATTAAAATTAAAATTTATAATATAGATATAATAAATTATTTTTAAAAAGAGCTATTTAAATAAAATTTATTATATTAAAAACTAATTATAATAAAATAAATATTAAAAGAGAAGTTAATTTTTTAATAATAAAAAATAATTAGTTTTTTTATATTTTATAATTTAAAATAAGATTATTATTTTAAGATTATTAACTATAAATAGTAGAATTAAAATTAGAGAAGTTAAATAAAAGCTTTAAATAGAAATTAATAAATAATAATTTATTATTTAGCTACTATTTCTTTTAATATTAAATATAATACTTATTATTTATTTTTACTATTTAAAATTACTATATAACTTTAATTTATTTAATAATATTAAGTAAAGTTAAAAAAACTAAATAATAATAATAATATATAATAAAGCTAAATAACTTATTTAAGCTAATTATATATAATATACTTAATAAGTAAGTAAGCTAGATAAGCAAGTAAGCTAAAAATCCCTTAACCTATATTATCTCTATTTAATTAATTAATTCTTAACTACCTAATATATTATAGTCTAATTATAAAGCTAGAATACTCCTTGCCCTTTAGGCTCTTTAAAATAACCTAAACCTATATATCCGATGTGCTATAGAGATTTATACAGTTAATTATTATACTTTAAGTTGCCAATAAAAGAGCATCCAGTCTCAATATAATACTATCCCAAATTTATACAAGCTATCTAATCTAGAAGAAGAGATTCTTATTTACTTATTCTTAATCTAAATTTATAAGAATTTCCCCTATAGCTATATAAGATAAAAGAAATAGCTAATTAATTACTTGCTAATTATAATATACTACTAGTTAGTATATATTAGGCTTATAATTTTATTAAGTAGTATCTAGATTTTAAGATATATTTTTTT